GTGTTAGAGCAAACGTCAGGCACGAGGTGCAAAAAAAGGATATTATTTTTCGTGATCCATTGCATGTTGGTCATTTTGAGCATCAAAAACTGGACTTGCAGGGAATCGAACCCTGGACCACTCCCATGCTAAGGGAGTATTATACCACTAAACCACAAGCCCGTTTTTTGCTTCTTGTCTGTCGCCCAGTTCGTATCAAGTCGTCCACGAAAGGTTGCTTCTAAGCCCAGTCCCCTTGGAAGGGGAAGGGGGGTTGAGGGTTTGATTATAAGTGTGAGGTCACTTGTCCCTTCTGTGCCTTATGACACTTGATCTTTTATTCATTACCTATCGTAATGCTTACCACGACTGGTTTAGGCAAAGAAAGATATAGTATATAGCGGTACGTTCTAACTACATATTGGCCTTACTAACTATTGACCTGTTATATCTTACGGTTGCACATAGTCAGCTCGCAACTAGCAGTAACGGGGATTGTTTTAGTAGAAGTAGATGAAAAGGCTACAATAAAAGAGGAGATAAAGGTTAAAGAAACATGCATCGCTAAGAACTGCGAACCGAATGACGAGATATGAATGAAATACTGGAGCAGGAAAAGGGGGGTGCTGTACGCCAAATGAAATAGGAGAGAACAGAAAGGGTCAATTTGTCTTAACGAGAAGATGAGCTGCTCCTTTCAGAATAGTACCCAATCTCTAATCCGGCCGGTACTATTGCTTTCAAAATTCTGGCATTTTCGCACTTGTAGCAAAGAAAGAAAACACAAGATACACAAAAAAAATAAAGAGGCTAACTAGCAAACAAATCGCGAATCGTACTTACTATGCTCTAGATAGAGACTGGTGGTTTGCGATTACAGCAGAGTTGAGACAAAGAAGGACATATGGTGGTGGTAGACGAAAACGCAAGTATATTAGCTAATAATGCAAAAAGGCATGTGCTCTACTTTATGGCCGAGTACAGCACTACGCAGAGTAGATGATAATTTGTACAATGAAAGCATGTGGTGATAGTTTAGCTGGGATACCTAATGCGATTCCTAGTGTGGCTTAACTTGAGCAACTATTGGGCCGTATTTTACTAAATTAAGTTGGCTCAAGGTTGCTCAAGTATAATGTCTACAAGCAGTGGGCCCGCTCGCATTCGCGAGCAAAGATTTACGTTAATTAGGAGAGATTTTTTTACGTTGATTACTAAGTGATATACGGTGTGTGATTGGCTACGTTTAAGGATAGGTTAGTCAGCTGTTAGCCAGTACGGCTGTTTGCTAGTCTGCTTGCCAGTCTGTCTCCCAGTTGGCCTGCCAGTCGGCCTGCCAGTCAGTCTCTGTGCCAGTCAGTCTCTGCGCCAGTCAGTCTCCTAGTAAAACGTACCTACGTTATAAAAGAAAAGGAGGAAGAAAACAAAAAACAAAAAACAATCATACAAAGTAAGCAAAAGCAGCTTACATAACAATCAAACTATACTATTACAGCTTAGTATAGCCCAATATAGCCTAGCTTACTCTAGCGCATACGCTAAAAAACGTACAGCCAGTTAAAAGAGCGTAAATTTTCTACGCTAGCACCATATTAAGGGGAAATGGGTGGAGAGGAGGTGTTTGACCCGATAACTACTGTAAGGTGCCTAGCGGGTACCCGTAAATTACCGGAATAGGTATACATTTTGTGTAGATCTTTTCCTAATAGCGTAATTTGGCGACAGGGGCGTGCCCCGCAGATAGGTCGTTGATATGATAGAAGCATATATAGTAGGCCTAGGAAGTCTCTAGATTATCCTACAAGTAAAATACTCCTAAGCAAATGGAAAATAGGGCTGCCTAATGGCGTACTCTTTTTTCGCGCAGCACCACCAGATGGATCTGCTAATGTAATTAGTGTAAGCCAACTCGTATTAAAGAATTCATCCGACATGGTGTAATGGCTAACATCGGTCGCTCTCACCGACCAGCTCGGGGTTCGATTCCCCGTGTCGGAGCTTATTGTATACAATTTGTTTATATTGTTTCGTTATTTTTTCACCTTAATCGGATATACGACACATCTACTCGCTCTTATTCCTATTTTTATTTTTATTTTTATTTTTACAGACCGTCCATGAGCGTACAAATAAAGGTAGGGGCCTTTAAAATTTGAATCTCACACAGTCGGCACGACGCTTTTATGTCATAAATGAAGGTGAGGTTCGGCGAGGCCTCTCTCGATAAAACTAAGACCTTGTTATAGCTTGTGCGGGGCATTTTAATAAGGAGCCTAGCACCTACTTGCTAAACAGCAAGCGAAAGCCGAAAGCAAGTACAGGCTGCACTGGAAGCGTCGAATTTGCATCTTGTATATGCGTGTTCATTCCAAATAAAAAATAGAAAGGAGCACGAAGATGTTTTTAATTACTTTTAATTATCTAAGATTTAAAGTTATGGTTATGCCTCTCAATCCCATCTGACCAGAAATACGAAATCTCTTTTTTTTTACACTGCACAAAACCAACCTCATCATCGACCCAAACGCTGGTAGTGACCGGATTAAAGAAGAGTTCGATCTAGACGCTATAAAATATTCTGAGGGAAGAGATTTTGAACCGCAGTCATACACAGCACTGATCGCAACATAGTAGAGGGCCAGCGCGCTACTGACTTCTGATGCTGCTTGATCTGAAGAATTTTTAGAGGATTCCAATTATTCGTTAATAAAACTGGCCCTGGGTTCGGTTTCTGGCCCTGCTTCTCTCGACCACAGCATTTATTGGAACGACTTACTCAACTACCGAGGTTAGCAAGGCAATACTATGTTCCCTAACCCCCGCTGCTACCAACTACGATACTCTACCCAATCCACAGCCAGAACGTACTTTCTCACTAAAGGCTAATTCGAGACGCAAGTGGCGCTGCGTAAACTTGGTATGCTCGTGGGGGGTGTCCCTTCAGCCAGCCAGGCTGAAGATAATACTGAGCCACGGATCTTGTTTGTTTGGGCCAGCCTGAGATAGAATAATAATGTTGAAGGTACGTGCCAAATACAAAGTGATGGGGGCTCAGGGTCGTAACCGAAAATAGCCTGGCATAGGACGACTTGGACTTCAGAACGAGCCTACACAGCCACCGCCGTCCAGCTGACAGTATCGAGGCGATTCCTGTCGCTTAGTCCCTGACTAGGGAAAATTATTTTTGCAGAATACGCGGACTGCATCTGTATCAACACGGGATGTTTTCAACCAGGGATACTCCAACGATTCATGTACAGATTCCTTTTCTGTTTATGCGTTTGACACGATAAGGTGTAAGTCCTCGGAGCCATAAAGCCAACTTTGACAAAAATTATGCGCTGATACGGCACTAAGGGAATGGCTTGTTGGTCCACGAGTCATTGGTGCCCCTCCGATTGAAAGCAACGGATAAGAGCGAAGGCACTGCTTTGGACGTGAGCACTTAATCTCGGATCGACTTTCCCATGAGCTGCAGATCGGAGCAGCACAGGACTGCAGGAACTCAACCTCGTCTTTCTATCGACCTGATGTCTACAGGCATATGACGAACTTACCTACGTTGCAAAAACACATATTTAGTGCGTTGCAAGAGCAGAGGTTGTGTAAGATAAACAGAGTTTGCCCTCGATGAAAAGAGTCTCTGGCTGTGTGCCTTGCTTGTTTCGTGTGGGTTGGGCGACTTTGGGTTGGTTTGACGTTCCGACATGTCTCGGGCTCGTTTCGCCTTATTGTGAGATACCTGAAGCACGAATCAGAGAATTTCTTGTTGGATGTCACTAGACAGTACTGCAGCAGAAAACAGCACATTAAGTTACACAACAGCGATGCCAATGACCAGTATTTTCAGATATCTTCTTGCCAATTCTCCTCGACTGTGGGATTACAGTAGCTGCTAGCATAATCGCGTCTTTATTGGCGCGAAGTTACGTCAAAAAAAGAATGACAAGAGTGGGACTCGAACCCACGCGTGTCTCCACACTAGCAAGTTCCAGGAATCCTGAAGCTAGCGCCTTAACCGCTCGGCCATCTTGCCTTTTGAATTGATAAATTGATATAGATGTTGGCTCAAAGGCGGGATCATGCAGATGCTTGGACATTGTCTCTTTGCAAGTGAAAGATGGGGTCTTTCCCGAAGATTGGACGCTGTGGCATGTCGAGAAGCGCATTAGCGACTTCGGGTCGCCACACCAAGCTTTAAGCTACAGTTTGGCGTGAAAGCAACTGACGATGCAGACAGATGACAGTGAGGAGAAAGGTCGGCTTAACAGCAGACGGATGTCAATGGGGCTATTACGACAGGACTACCATCGCACATACGAATGTGCCGTGTGCTATGTGGGTCCATAGTCCACAACATTTGTCCTGATGTATCAAGCTCTAGAACCCATTGCCTGCAGAAAAGTGCGTTTTCGGCTATAACTTCAACAGCTTATGTGAGTTACTTGTTCTTTACGCCGATGATATCACTCGCCAGCTACAGTGGGAATTGTCTATTTTCTTGATTCACTTGCTTTAAGTATTTCTCGCAGGCAGTCTCCTGTCGTGCTCCCTCATTTTAAAGGTTATAATGTGTTTTCCTCTTTGAAAATTGCTGCCTTAATAAAGCAACTTAGGGTGGTTCTCCGCCCCCAAATTTTTTTTTTTTTGCGTTTAAACGGAGCACTCCAGGTGCACGTAAGTGCTTACAGCCAGAAAAGACAGAACTGCATCTGGCTTCAATTTCGCTGCCAATAATATTTCCTCCGAGTGTACTGAGATGACTTTTAATAGAACAAAAAAGCTAGTCTCAGCTTGAGTGCCGTAATCAGCCTGGAGGGTAACTTCCAAATGCCTATTGATCTCGAGAAACGATCACGAAGAGAACTCTCGTTTTAGCATGTCATTAATGCACAGTTCGAATGTGGGACCCCTTTGCATGTTTGCTAGGGCTTAGATATACAAGAAAATACACCCCTTAGGTTGCTCTCCTAAATTAGGCGCACCAAAACACAACATCTAATAACAGAAGAAAAGGCCGCTTACAGCAGCAAGAAGAGGGCAGCAAGAGACGCAAAGAAGACGCCCGAGTTGGTAGCCACAACGGAAGCGCCAGCGGTAACGACCAAGGTAGCCGAGACAGCCGCCGTCGCCGAAGTGGACGACACGACTGCGACAGGGGTGGCAGTTCCGGATCCAGATGCATACACAACGCTGGCGTTGTAGCCAGACGTAGAGTTGTAGCCGGAGCCGGAGCCAGCGATGGCGCCAGCACCAGCAGCCGAGCTGCCAGAGCTAGAACCAGAGCTGGAACCCGCAGCAGTGTCAGTGTTGGGCTCAGTGCTGGAGCCCGAGCCAGCCTCGGAGCTGGAGCCTGTGCTAGAGCCAGAGCCAGAGCCAGCAGCAGATCCAGAGATGGAGCCACTAGTGGATTCAGAGCTGGAGCCAGCAGTAGACTCAGAGCTAGAGCTAGAAGCAGATCCAGCAGCAGATCCAGAGCTAGAGCCTGTGCTAGAGCCCGAGCTGGAGCTCGAGCTGGAGCCAGAGCTTGAACCAGAGCTTGAACCAGCAGTAGAACCGGAGCTGGAGTCAGAGCTGGAGCTCGAGCTAGAGCCAGAGCCAGAGCTTGAACCAGAGCTTGAACCAGCAGAAGATCCAAAACTGGAACCAGAGCTGAAGCCAGTAGAAGATCCGGAGCTAGAGCCAACAGTAGAGCCCGAGCTAGAGCCAGAGTTTGAACCAGAGCTTGAACCAGAGCTAGAACCAGATCCAGCAGCGGCCACGGCACCAGCAGAAGCACCGGCAGTAGCCTCAGCAGCAGCACCGATGGTGACGGTGGTTGCATACGTCGAGGTGGAGTAGACAGCAGAGACACCGCTACCGCTCTTTAGGTAGGATACGATGACAGTCTCAGACGAGGAAGCCGAGGCCGAAGCGCCGACCTCGGCGCTGACAAAGACGTAACCACCCGTGCAACTGTCGCAGGACTGTGCGGAGTAGACGGTGACACCAGTCGAGACGGTGGTGCTGTCACAGGCAACAGCGCGGTAGATAGTCAGACCCTTGGCGATAGCGACGGTGACATCGGCGACGACGTAAGAAACACCACCCTTGCAGCCGCACTCCTCGATGACGTAGACAACCTCATCGACAGTCGGCGTGGCGGTGCACTCGACAAAGATGAAGTAGATGCTGATATCGATCACAGTCGTCGACGGGACGACAGTGGCTGTGGCCGTGATGACGGTGCTCAGGCCACCAACGGTGGTGGTCGCACCGCCAATGACAGTAGATGTACCGCCAACCGTGGTTGTCTCACCACCAATGACAGTCGATGTACCACCAACTGTGGTCGTCACACCACCAATGACAGTAGATGAGCCGCCAACTGTGGTAGTCTCGCCTCCGATGACAGTAGACGTGCCACCGACACAGGTGGTGACCGTGACTGTGGTGGTCTCGATGGTGGTGGTAGTGGCGACAGCGGCAGTGGCAGCACCAGCTGAGGTGGCAGTACCAGAAACGGCACCGGTGAGGGAAGCAGTAGTGGAGACCGTAGCCAAGACGGTGGCAGTAGAGCCAGCAGCAGCAGACGAGGTGCTGTTGGTGTACAGACCAGAAGAAGCAACGCTAGAAGAGACAGCACCCGAAACGCTCGAAGAAGCAGCACCAGAGACGCTCGAAGCAGCGGCACCAGAAGACGAGACAGCACCAGACACGCTGTAAGCAGCGCTGGAGGCCGTGGACGAAGCAGAAGCAGACGACGAGGTGCTGTTGTCATAGGCATAGACGACGAGGACGTCCTCGGTCGGCAGGCTGTCACGACGCTTCAGACTAGGGCGAATGCCACCGCAGCCTTCGTGGGCGTTGCCAGGGCAAGGTGTCAGACAGTGGCTGTCGGTAAAGCGGGTGTTGCCCAGGTTTGAGTTGAAGCAGTAGCAGTCGCTGATTTGTCTGTCAGCATGTTTTCAAAGGTTAAAAGACAAGGGATCGGGCTTACTTGGTAAAGATGCCGACAAAGGGAACTCCATCGCAGGTAGCGACGCAGAGGTCGAGGGTCATGGCAGAATCGCTGTGCTTCTGGACGAACGGGTGTGCCTGAGACGGGCCGAAGCAGCCGATGTAGCTGTAGTGGCCAATGTGGGGGGGAATCGTCGGGAGGATACTGCCAGATGATGTCGGCGAAGCCGAAGTGGCGGTAGAAGCCGGGGCAGTCGAATTGCTGGGAGAACTGCTGGTCGGGGCAGAAGAGCTAGCCAGTGCCGAGCTGGTAGCCGGGGCAGAGCTCGTAGAGTTGCTAGGAGAGCTGCTTATCGGAGCAGAAGAGCTGGCCGGAGCTGAGCTGGTGCTGTTGCTAGGAGCGCTGCTAGCAGAAGCAGGAGAGCTAACTGGGGCAGAGCTAGCAGGAGCAGAGCTGGTTGAATTGGTAGAAGAGCTGCTGACCGGAGCAGAGCTGCTAACGGGAGTTGAGCTGGTTGAGTTTGTAAACGGAACCGATGAGCTGGCGGCAGCAGAGCTAGAGGCTACGGAGCTGGTAGGCGCAGTGCTCAAGGGAACCGAGATTGCCGCAGTAGAGCTGGCAGGAGAAGAGCTGGTCGAGTTGCTTGCAACAGAGCTGACGGCCAGGGCAGAAGAGCTGGCAGAAGAGATAGCTGGAGCCGAGCTGGTAGAGTTGCTAGCGATAGAAGAGCTGGCAGGTGCAGAGCTGCTAGCAGTAGAGCTGACAGGAGACGAGCTAGTCGAGTTGCTGGCGACAGAAGAGCTGGTAGGTGCAGAGCTGCTAGCAGTAACTAAGCTGCTAGCAGAAGCCGAGCTGATGGGGGCAGAGCTGCTGGCAGTTGAGCTAACGGGGGCGGAGCTGCTGGCGGCTGCAGAACTGCTGGCACTCGACGAAGCAACTGAGCTGGAAACTGACGAAGCAGCCGAGGATGATGAGACCGAGGATGACGCAGCTGATGAGGATGCAACCGAAGATGAAGCAACAGACGAGGTCGGTGTAGAGCTGGCGACTATAGAGATAGGCGTAGAACTTGCGGACGAAGCAGATGAAGTCAGCTCCGACGAAGTTGACGCTGAGCTGGTGGCCGGCGTAGACGAACTCTCGATAGAAGAGCTCTCGACACTAGTCGGGTTGGCCGAAGAGCTGGTGTTGGACACGGACGCGGCACGCAGCCAATGGAGGTGCGGTCGGTTGGCTTCGCGCTGCTGCAACTCCCGTAGGGCAGCATCAGAGTTGACGGCAGCAGCCGAGGCGCTGGCCACGAGGCCGGCAGCCATCAGCTGAATCAGATTCTTGGGCAACATATTTGGAGTTGCACCCAACAGCGGATGCTAGTCTCTCGTTGGACAAGGCGGAGGCAATTCCGAGAGAGACAACCCAGACGACGAGGTCGTGAGGCTGTAAAAGAGCGAAGGGCTGAGGTTAGCAGCTAAAACGAATGACTGTAGTTGAGGTAGTTGAGGAGAGAGGGAAAGAGAAGGGAAAAGGGTACAGAAGAGAGGCTGTGGGTGACCGACTTTATATCCCGACTAAACTCATCATGTCTCTGGAATGTAGCCACCGGTCTACCTCCGCGAGCGAGCATTCTCTGCCAAGCCCGACAGCTAGTTTGATGTCGATCGCTACCTAACAAAGACGTGCCAGGGAAACGGGAGGGGGAGCACTCCACGGCTGGAACAAACGCGTCGATAACACAATAGCATGACCGGTCCGGTCTTTGGACAAAGGTCTCGCCTGCGGGTCGACGGCTGGTCCGGGGGAGGAGGGCTTTGTTTTCCCATACCGGAGCCCCCTAACACTGCATCCTGGGCTCACTAGTCTCCGTCCCGCGAAAGCGACAGGGTTGTGCGGTCCTTAGCCTCCCTCGATCTGGGTCCGCGACAGGCCTGTAGCCGAGCTAAGCTGCTCCGTTCCCAGATGCCCAGAGATGCACAAAGATGCCCGCGAGATAGCGTGCCGTCCTAGCCGGCCCATCATGTGGATGAACTGCCTAGCTACAGCTGTTTGCAGCTATCCTGGCGACAACAAATATCCAGGATCCAGGATCGTTGTCCGACGGTTGATGACCGCGCCTACTCATCGCATCTCTCGTTACTCCGTACAGACACCGATTCTCCACAATCGTGCAAGTGAGACTCTGCACAAGGTTAGAACATGCAAGGAACCATTCTGCCAGTTTGCCTCTGCTGGCTGGAACGCGTTAACGCGCCCACCAGAAGCCCCACATTTGACAGCCGCCTTGCGCCAGACGTCCTATCATTGGAAGACCCTCCCTCATCTGTCATCTCTTAGCCCAAATGCCGTCCGATGGCCAGCACCTGGCCCAGCCTCCCTTACGTACCTTCATTTTAAAAAGGCACATTCCATCGTCCCTGCCGAGCGTTACCAGAACCACAGGGGCGCTTCCTTAATGGGTGGGTGGGGGTGAAAAGGAAAGAAGAAAAAAAGAAAAAGGAAAAAGGAAAATGAGTAGGCGAGACGCAGCGAAAAAGATACAGGAACTACCCGTCAGGCTCGGGGTCAGCGCTAAGTTGCTAGCATGCTGCAGAAACTTCTATCTCACCCCGATTTTCGCCATCTCCCTCCCTTGTTTCGTTTTTCCACTTTGCCCTCAGCATCCCTTTGATGTTCAGTGGAAATTGGGCGACTCGTTTGAATCTTCAGCTCAGCAAGGAGTTACCCTCCAATTTGCGAGCTGCACTTCGTATCGAGTCCGTCTGCCGTGCCATCTCGCCTGCACTTGCGCTCGCTGCCACATCAAGGCATCGCCGGCGGATCCTTTCTGTCTCGTCTGGATGAAACACGCCACCTCCATTCCTCTCGTCTGTGCCCTCCCGCTTCGCGTCTCCCTGGAGAAACATTTCTCGGCAGGTTGTCGCAAAGACAGCTTCAATTGGAAGGAGAAGCGTCTCTGAGCACTTGTAGAGGTAGTCACCACATCTGGCTAGTGCTCTCCTGTAGATGGAATCTTGGCCTTGCCAGCATTCTCACCGATGTAACGGGCCCATTGCAACTAGCCTGACGTCGTCCGGCTAGCACGAACAAAGGCATGTCGCCAGTGCAGACAGGCGTACGACGTACCGGAAAGGACACACCGAAGCTTCCTATCTACGACGCAAAAGCCGCACGCTAACTCGGGCTATGCAGGAACCACTGCAAGCCAAAGGCCTGGCCAGTATATATTCCGAATCACCACAAAGGGGCGGCCAAGCAGCTGAAGCGGGAGGCCTGTCCGCCATCCCTATCAGGATTATAAATTACGTGATGCCCCTTGCACTCCCGTCTTATGATGTGCTGTATATTTTCTACATTGCTGAGAGTGCAACGCCGTAGTGTCCGATGCGATCAAAGAGCTCGATCCCTATCATGACGCTACAATGACGCCTCCTTTTCCATCCAGCGATCCGGATAGGACAGGCGATGGCTACATGTTCTTTCAATGGTATGTCGCAACTTTAGAAAGTACAGAGCTCCCAGTTCTGCCTTAGCACGATCCGAAGGAGCGGCAGAGCCTGCAGCTTTTCCTTTCTGAAGAATTTTCACTTGCTTTCGAGTATACACTGCCACCACTGTCCCAGACTAAGACCACATTAAACTGTATTCTATTCTGAGCGAGTCTGCCCAATGAAACTAATTATGATAACGTTGTCTCAGTTCAGGGTGTACGGGGGTTCAGTTCAAAACCAAAATGGTAATTTAAATTGCATTCAGTTTGGTATACAGGTCGTACTTTTATAGGAGCCGAAGTCGGGGTTTCCATAACCTTATCATGAGCATCCCCGTGGGAAATTATCTCAGCTGGTCGTCTGTGCTGACCGCATCTCTCTCCGTCCGTTTTGGAGACAAAATGCCGCATTTACGGCTACAGACAGTCTGTGTTCGAGCAAGCCCGTTCATACCTTGTAGTTCGTAGAATAGATAGCGTGCAATTTGACTCCTTACGCGTATCTGTATATCTCGACTGTCGGGTCGATATTATCCTTAGCGGCATAATCTTACCGATTAATCATCGTAAACAAAATAGATTTCGCCTTACCAGTCCGATTTAGCTTCTTTCTCGAATCGGTGCTGTTGCTTGATCAACAACATATAATCTTGTTAAGCGTCTATGCCGAAGATATGAATTGTTGTAAACCACTGAATATCCGTCAGTTTACCGGTAGTGTAGTGCAGATAGATGCGGCAAGCTTATATAAAAAGTAATTAGGTCGTGTGTTTCTATTATCTTTAATTAATCATATCCGGCGATGTTCATTATAAAATTGATATTCCTTACAACCAGTGTAAATACATGCACTTTTCTTATATCGGCCAAGAAACCTAACTTTTCCTGGATCCAACAAGTGCAATACTTCTCATAAATTAGAATATCAATTTCAGATTCGTACACTAAAGGTTTGATACTGTCTGTAGTGCCTGTTGAAAATAAAGCGGTGAGCTGATTATAAGGCATATTACATCGTCACGTGTCAATCCCTCAATGGTTCTCCTGATGGTGTAGTTGGTTCATCACGTTCGGCTGTAATGGTTTTCCAATGTTACCGAAAGGTCGCCGATTCGATTTCGGCTCGGGAGAAAAGTAACCTATTTTTTTACGCGGCTTGCATGCTTCCAAATATTAACCGTGTAATGGCTATTGCCATTGGTATTGCTATTCTCTTTTTTTTTTCCGCTTGCTTGCGCATAGAACCCGTAGCATCCTTGGGTACTGTGACAATGACAGAAACAAAAAGCTCTACACAATGATATGACAGTATAATGCCTCTGATCTTACGGGGGTTGTTAGTTGCTTGCGCACCTGAAGTGCGATCTACGGACGGCAATTTGTGCATGGGAGCAACGATCCATACAGACATCATGGTTAACCCACGTGTATTTTGTGCAGACTATGGCCAAGGCTTATTGTTTTATGGCGAGACAGCTCGCTTCTCGGATACCGCGTTCATTAACAAGGTACCGGGGCCTCCAGCAAGTCTCAATCCCTAGGTTTGATGTCAGTTGGACTGGCGGTCTTGGCAAAAAGAGGAATGGCTTGGCTGGAGACTTGCAGAGAAGCACGTGGGGAAGAGCTGAATTCTCAACGGCATGCCCAGACGACGGTCAAGACGGCCAAGAAAGCCAAGACAGCCAAGACGCAATAATGACGAGCACAAGAGCTTCTCCCCATTGAGTGCTTTACCAGGCGCAGCAGTTGCAGAAACGATACGAGCGGCGGTATCGCAAGAGGACAGCGCCATGCAGCAGAGGCGGATGCGACAGGCTCCCGAAAAGATATAAATCCAGGCTCGTCTGCAGCGGTCAGACGAGAGGCCACTGGGGAATCACCGTCGTGCTCTATGTCCTCTACGATGCTTGACCAATACACGTATGTCTTTGTCATCGGCACGCTGTTTGCGCTGCTCGATGCCTACAACAACGGAGCCAGTGAGTGGTGCGCAGAGAAAGGGTCACCCATACTGAGAAGGCTGACTAAGCCATATCGCCCCCAGACGATGTAGCCAACGCTTGGGCGACCAGCGTGTCCTCGCGATCGATCAGCTACCGGCAGGCCATGGTCTTTGGGACCGTGTTCGAGATGCTGGGGGCCATCTGCGTGGGCGCCCGCACAGCCGACACGATCAAGAACGGGATCATACCGACGTCAGCCTTTCGAGGCGACGCGGGCGTGCAGATGCTGGCCTTTACGTGTGCACTCGCAGCGGCGTCCTCGTGGGTCATGTGGTGCACACGGCACTCGGCCCACGTGTCGTCGACGTACTCGCTCATCTCAGCCGTGGCCGGTGTCGGCGTCGCTACCGTCGGGGCCGCCAACGTGCAATGGGGCTGGAACAAAGGCAAAGGCATGGGCGCCATTTTTGCCGGACTCGTCATGGCTCCTATCATCGCAGCCGGCTTCGGTGCCATCCTGTTTCTGCTGATCAAGCTGACTGTGCATGTGCGCCGCCGGCCGGTCCCGTGGGCCGTCTGGACGTCACCCTTTTTCTTCCTCATCGCCGGCACCATCTGCACTCTTTCCATCGTCTACAAGGGTTCGCCAAGCCTCGGACTTTCCAAGAAGCCGGCCTGGTACATTGCTGCCGTCACGATGGGCACCGGCGGCGGTGTTTGTTTGCTGTCGGCCGTGTTCTTCGTGCCCTTTGTACACGCCTGCGTGATCAAGAAGGATGTCACCGTTCACTGGTGGATGTTTGTGTACGGCCCCCTGCTGTTCAGACGCCCTGCCCCTGAGGCTGCCGAGAGGGCAATCGTGCCCAACTATGCGGTCGTCCAGGATGACGACGAGGACGAGATTGCACGACAGCAGTGGCAGACCGCCTCGGCCGGCTCGCTAAGCGACAAGGATGCCCGGGCGACAAAGCAAGTCGACGAGCCCACGACAGAAGCTTTGGCAGAAGTCGGACAGACGACGTACAAGGAGCTAGTTGCCGCGAACAACGAGCGGTTCCACGCCAAGCTTCGCAAGACAGGCGGGCCCCTGGGCTGGGCCATGTGCACGCTGCACGACAATCCCATGGGTGCCGGGCAGATCTATGAGGTCAGAAACATCAAGATGCTGTTCAGGCGACTGCCTGCATATGTCGTCGCCGGCGCCCTCTATGGCTTGCACTATGACATCCATGCGGCTCAGACCGGCATCGCTGGCACGCCAGATGGTGAGCGTATGGCGCGCGTGTATGCCCACGCGGAAAAGTACGCCAACGAGGTCGAGCACACGTACTCGTTCGTTCAAGTGCTGACGGCCTGCACGGCGTCGTTTGCGCACGGCGCCAACGACATTGGCAACTCAGTCGGCCCCTGGGCTGTCATTTATTCTGCCTGGAAGACGGGCGATGCCGCTGCCTCCAAGGCTCCCGTCCCTGTCTGGCAGTTGGCCGTCCTCTCCCTGGCTATTTCGCTCGGCCTCATCACGTATGGCTACAACATCATGAAAGGTGAGATCTGCATTCCTGCCTTTGGGCCAGACGCAAATGCTGGCTAAACATATGGAACAGTTATGGGCAACAAGATAACATACCACTCACCATCGCGTGGCTGTTCCATGGAAATGGGCGCTGCCATCACCGTTCTTGTCTTCTCGCAGTATTCCCTGCCAGTGTCGACGTCCATGTGTATTACGGGCGCGACGGTCGGTGTCGGTCTCTGCAACGGCACGTTGAAGGCTGTCAATTTCCACCGCATCGGGCTACTTTTGCTGGCTTGGATCATGACCATCCCGATTTCAGGAACGCTTGGTGGAATCCTGATGGGGCTTTTCCTAAACGCACCGCATTTTTCTTCCTAGGCAGTGTGAATATGCAGAAGTAGATGTTGATTGAACGAAGAGACTGTTGTGTTGCGAAAGAGAGAGCGAGAGGCTGTCGTGAGAAAGTGACTTCTACGTAGTAATTACGGAGTACAGCACCTTAGTAATACTCTACGCTTACTGTGGCTTGTGACTGTGGCTAGGATTTGTGACAATTGAGCCCCGCGTTTGAACGCGTTCAATTGCAAAAGCATCGACGTCTGGCTAACAGCAACGTGACGGCTGCCCGTCGACCGGCCACGATGCGACCGTTTATCTCGCCAGCACGGCTGGTGCTGCTGACGCTGATTGACATGTACTGCAGCGACGGGGTGGTGCCGGATGCGGACGACGATTTTATCTTGCAGCTGATCGGCAGCTACATGGCCGACAGCTACGGACAGCCGAGCAGCCGGCGACAGCGCCAGGTGGCGCGGTGGCAGCGAGCGTACCTCAACGTGGACCTGCTGTCACGGCTGCACAGTCTGCGGGAGCCGCTGCAGGGCTGCTTCGTGGCTTCCAGCGCGGCCGACCTGCCGATGTGCGCGACGCTCTGGGACACGCTCGTGGCGCGGCTCTGGCTGCGGCTGACCTGCCTGGACGACCTGGTGCCATTCTTCGACGGGCTTAGCCAGCATGTGGCACCGACATACTCGGAGCTGCGGGCGCGCCGCGAGCTCGGCTTGGAGGACCCGCCTGACCGATTGCTTCTGCTCGACCGTCGCTCACCCATGGGCCAGCTCGTGTACCAGGCCTGCATCGAGTTTACGCGGCTGTCGTTTTCCGGTCGCTGCGACCTATGGGAGGACTTTGTGCGCTACCGGAACCCATCGCGGGCTGATTTCAACATCCTCTGGCCGCACGACTTTCCCACCGACCGGCTTAGGATGGACGCCGTCTTGACCGAATACCAGGACCAGTGGGGCGACCGGGTCGAGCAGATCGAGCAGATCACCTTTGACCGCATGCTCAAGGACCGGAGTGTGCCGGCCAGCTCGGACGAGACGGAAAAGCTGGTGTCGCTGCTGATCGATCGAGAACGTGGGTGCTCTCGGTGTATTGCTCCACTTTGCCTCCTTCCAATGCTGACATAAGCAGGACGAGGTTTCAGGCCCAGCTACGAACTGCGCAGCGCCACCGACAAGGCCATCGAGGGCTCGACGCTGATCCCGGCACAGACGACGTACTACCGCCTAACGGAGGCCTGGCGAATAGGAGACAGCAACACGGCATACGACCAGCTGCACCGATACTTTGACCTGGTGGCGCGGCAAGGTGTCGGGGCAGCGTTTGGCTACAACATGGGCCCGATGAACAAGGCGATCATGCAGCGCGACTTTGGCGAGCACCCAGACGACCTGCTATCGATGTTGGATGCGGTGCATGCGGGCCGTGAGTCGCGCGACTACAATTCGCTGCGCTTCTCGCTGCTGTGGCTGTACCTGTACGCACGCATGATGCCGCGCCACATTCGGCCGCACCAGCTGCAGGGCCTGGCCGGCCAGCCGACGGACGGCGACCAGGTGCTTCCGTACGTGCGGCACGATGCGCGGATGGCGCAGGCACACGTGCACCGGGCGCTGGCGTTTGCGCTGGAAGCCCGCGTGGCCCTTGCGGACGGACGGCCGCCTCTGTATGTGCGTGTGTGTCTGCGGGACGGCAGCCGGCTGACGGTGGGACACAACGAGACGACGCTGCTGGGCCAGCTGGTCAGCACGGCGATGCTGTTCTGGGAGAATGCCGGAGCGGCCGGGCTGGCGGTCAGCCACGGGCGGGCGTTTCTTCGCACGCGCGAGGACGCCGTACCGTTTGACGACGCCCTGCGTGTGGCCTCGCGTGTGGCACTGCACTACTGCCATGGAGGGTCCTTTGCGGATGCCCGTGCGGTGCTGCGCCGCCTCAGCTCCGAGGGTCTCTCGTCGTTACGGCCACAGAGCCGACTGCGTCACGTGCTCACGGTTGTGGCGGCGACAGAAGCCATCCGATCCGGTCGATTCGACAAGGCGGATGATCTTTTGCGCCGGTTGCCGGCCGGTGGCTACCCAACGACAGCCAAGGCCAAGACGTCGCGAGCGTCGCAAGGGCCGTCAGAGCTCGACCCCGACCTGGCGGCGCACGTGGCGCTGCTGCAGATCCAGTCGCTGGCGCGACGCGGTGAAGGAGCGCTCGTGTTGGCGCGCGACGCGCTCGAGACGCTGGAGACGGCCTACGATGGCGGCGTGGGCGACCTGCACGTGCTCATCCGCATGGGGCTTGCGCGCTGTGACCTCTACGCGCGTGCCGGCCGGGCGGTCCGTGGGTTGTCGGTGGTCATCCGCAGCGTGCAGGCGTGTCTGTGCCGGCGGTACCACCAGCTGCTCTGGGAGGCGGTCGGAGCGCTGGCGCGGCTTCTCGTGGCCGAGGGCGAGTTTGCGGCCGCGCGCACTCTGCTGGCCGTCGCGATCCCGCGCACGCTGCAGGACCGCGACGGCGATCGGACGGCCGAGCTGTACAGCTACCTCGGCGATGCGCACATGGGCATGGCAGGCGAGCTATGGAGGGCGGTGTCGACGACGACAGCGGCAGCCGAAAAGGACCGACAAAAGGCCAAGATGAAGCGCCACCTGTCCAAGGCGTGGCGCTGTCTCAAGAGGGCGGAGGAACAGTTTCGGCTGGCCGGGTCGGGCGAGGTGGTGGAAGGGGAGTTTACGATGAAACGAAAGACGATTCTGGCCGTGACAAGGCGGCTCAATTCATGATTGCATACAGTAGAACATGGCTGCACGCCCGGGAGATCCGGAGTGGCGAAGAAACGATACCCTCAGATGAGCTCGACGAAGAGAAGAGCAGAATAGCCATCAGCTATCCGCGATCCAAGATTAAAAGACTGTAGATGCCCGGTTTCCGAATCCCATTCCATTGTCCGTCCTCGCCTGCTGGTACGCGTGTGGAATAAAAGCAAAGCGTCAAAGGCAGATCATGTATCGTGTGTGCCGTTGCCGGCAGTCGTATCGGGCGGTCAGGCCAGTCTGGCCCGGTGACAGAAGCAGCTGCCATTAGCACCAGCACCGGCACCAGCACCGGCGTGCTCTCGACCCAGGGGAGCCTCGCCGCGCATGGCCCGGGCCAGATGGCATTCGGACTGCAGCCAGGGCTGGAAGTAGGGCAGGCTGCTGAGCGACGGGCCGGCCTCGTCGTCGTCTTCGATCTTGACCCTGACGTCTGGTGGTGTGTCACGTGTGTTTTGGGCGAGTTGGGTGGTTTGGCTGTGTTTGGGAGTATGTTGGGATGTGGGTGAGTGTTCGCGGTCGTCGTCCTCGGTCTTGACAGCCGTCAGCGTCAACCCTGCAGCAGCAGCCGTTCGCTGTGATGTTCGACGTGCAGCCGCCGTCCTCGGCTTCTGTGCCGTCCATCGGTCTGTCGTGGCTGCAGCTTGCCGTCGGGACTGTGCTGGTTGTGTCGGTTGTGTCGGCTCTGTTGGCTCTGTGGGCGGCAGCGGCTGCTTCTGTCGGGACCGTCGAGCCGGACGGGTCGCCGCCGCCGTCATCTCGACAGCACGGCCAGATCGAAGAGCCCGTCGTGTCGCCGGGGTCATGGACGCGAAAGCAAAAAAGATTGGCTGAGAGATCGTGGGCCACGCAGCTAACGAGACAGATCAAACCGATCTACCGCTCGGGGCTCTGGAGAGGCTAAAAATTAGCCTTGTGGGCCGTCGACGGGCAGGAGAAGCAGCAGCCGCCAGATACAAGTGCTCCGGAATGGCAAGCAGCAGCTCTCCCAACATCTTCCACCGTCTTCCGGTCGCTTGCTTTTCTGCACACGGGTGACACGACGACAGACGGGGCCACAGCAGCACATACCGAGACAGCGGCCAGTTGCAGGTGGCCGAGAGGGGCACGACGATGGCAGCAGGCAATAAATAAGCATGGATGGGCAAGGTTTTGCGGCTGTACTCCGTACTCCGTAGCAGCTCGCGAAGCTCAGCTGGAGGGAGAAAAAGGTGGCCCCTATTTTCTGTGCTTATCAGCCGGAAGCGGGGCCCCAATATTCTGGCGGGGACCGCGGGCCAGCGTTCCAGCTCCGGACCAATGAGGGAGCCGTACCGAAGAGCACGGACTGCACCAGAACAAGCACTAAATTGCATCCATCCTAAAAGCAGAACGCCCACCAAACTGCCATTCCAACAGGAACCCCTGCACCTTGCATTACGAAGCGAACGACCGCACCCTGCTCATGCACGCACGCACGCACGCACACTCACACGTTCGCTCACTCGCCCATCAGCAGCCCAAACAGCTCTGCCTGCTCCTGCAGCGTCCGGCCGACCGACGTCTTGCCCTCCATGTGCTGCACCATCCGGTCGGCCTCCTGCTCGATGCGCATCATCTCCAGCCGGATGCTGCCGACCGACTCGCGCAGGTGGTCGAGCGACTGGGCCGTCTCGCCCTCGATGGCCGCCTGCCGCGCCGCCTCCTCGCGTGCCTGCGCCTCCAGCTCAACCATCTCAGCCTCGTCCAGCTGCAGCCGCACCACAATCTCCTCCGTCTCCGACCGCAGCTCGAGCGCGTCGTCTTGGGCGTCTGCGCCCACCGCAAGCCGTTCCAGCGCCTCGGCCGCCCGCGCCACCTCCCGCCGCACCCGTGCGTGCAGCGCCGCGTGTGTCTCGTCCTGTGGCGCCGAGTCCAAAAACAGCGCCGCCACCTGCTCCGAACAGCCCGGACATGGCCGCATCGGAAACGCTGGCACCACGTCTGCACCCTCTGCGTCCCAGCCGATTAGCGCCTCCGCTGCCGCTGCCGCTCCTCCTTCTTCGCCCACCGCCAGCGTTGGCGCGTTGTGCAGCGCCTGGTGCAGCGCCAAAAACGCTTCCGTGTGAAACTCCCGTCCACATCGGCTGCATTGGAACGCCGTCGAGACCGGCCCCGACGACGGCACCACCCCCTCCTCCATCCCCCCCTCCGCCTCGTCCAGGCTCTGTAGCTCGGCTCGCAGTGCTAGCTTCATCCGCACCAGCCGATGTCGTAGGTGCAGTAGCCGGTCCGGCAGCGTCGCCATCTCCGACTCGGCTCCCGCTACGTACTGCCGCTCTCCTGCCAGATCCCGGATGATCGCCTCGGCTGCTGCGCCTTGCTCGCGCGCCACGTTCTTGATCTCCCGCAGTCGCTGTCGCTCTGCCTCCGTGTCCTGCACCATCGCGTCAATGTCGGTCGCGCTCAGCACCGGCAGCTCCAGCTCCAGAATCCGCCGCACCACCGTCTCCTTGGTCAGCTGCTCCTTGTACGAGAACCGCAGCTTCTTGAAGAGGCCCTCGAGGTAGTCTAGCTCGCTTAGTGCTGACTGGTAGTCCGGCGCCTCTGGCCCGCCGTCGCGGTGCTTGACAATCTCTAGCAGCGTGTCCAGCCCTTCCTGTGCCTCTGTCGACTGCATGTAGCGCGTCATGTGGTCCATGTGCAGCATGTTGACGTACTGTGCCGGCGTGTACGAGCTGCTGCTGCTCGCCGACGATGCTCGCGTCGACGTGACCTCTGACCGTTCCGTCGCCTCACCCGACTGTCGTGACTTAGACGACCGCGTCGACCGCGTCGACCTCGCTTCCGAGGATGCTCGTGTTCGAGGCATGGCAATCACTACTGTCGGAAGCTCGCAGATGTCGTATCGCTCAGTCCTGCCACGCTCCGTCAGTTACAGGCTTCAAACAGGCAATACCAGGATCCATGACGTACTTTCTTGGAGTGGGTTTGCGTGCGGGCAAGAAACAAGAGCTGGAGTTACTCTTCTGCTAGCTACTCGCAGGCCGGACGCTCGTCGTGGTAGCAGGTGTGGATGCGTCCGCCTTTATATCGTCGCAAATTTCGCCCGACTGTTTGTTGACAGACGGAAATGCGCTAGTCTATTTTTGGAAACACGTTGCAGGCTGCAGACCAACCACAACAACGGCGTTCAGCGGCATCAACCCTTCGTATCTTACGTCGTATAATCAGCAAATCGGCCCTTCTGCCTGCACGTCTCTCGATGCACATTCCTTTTGCAATACAGTGTGGCTTACTCTGAAACACGCCTCGTCCACTTACTGCTCGCCACGCCATCAGGATTCGTCCATGTGATCGTTGCAGTGAAACCACACACCATCCTCACGGAAGATAACGATGCTTGGCGTAGTCCCCGATCGCGGGGGAAAAATGAGCCAGTGAATACATGCCCCTCACTGAAACCAAAAAGTGAAACACCCACGACGACAAAGCCGTCCTTTTCCTCTTGAAACAAAACCAATACATGTGCGCCCACACCAAAAAGCTACTCTCTCGCCGGGAATTGAACCCGGGTCCCGGGCGTGACAAGCCCGTATACTGACCACTATACTACAAGAGATTATATCCACTTGAGATGTCACATGCTCAGGTACAGCACACTGTAAGGGAACGAGCTTACGGCCAAACGATAATCAGTAGGTTTCAATCATCAGACGTCGTTTTGCCTCCACACTTTCGCTCGTCTAGAAGCCTTTCCGACGCCCCTGAAATAAAAAGAGCATCCATGTGTACTCGTACTCTCTAATCGTGATCAGTGCTATTGCACCACAGCAAAAAAGCAAGTGCCATGAGTGGCAACGTCATCAAGTTTCTCAAGCCCGTCAAGCAGAAGCAAGCATCATAGTCACAAAGAGCAGTTTATTTGCTATCACATGGGCTTGTGGTTTAGTGGTATAATACTCCCTTAGCATGGGAGTGGTCCAGGGTTCGATTCCCTGCAAGTCCAATTTTTGCTTCTTTTCTTGCTTACTAATTTGAGCATCTCTCTGCCTTTTTGCACCTGTGCGGAAAGCTTTGAGCGATCAGGAAAGTGGAATGCATAGGGATTCTTAAATAATACGGAGTATTTATAAGACGAGCATATTCGTTCGGATGTCTATCCAGCTCAAGTGTCTTTGGTGGAGAGCAATGCCTTCGGACAAGCTATATCTCCTACGCGCAGTCTTCAGGATGGACACTTTTTACAAAACCATACGAAGAGTAGGACTTCGTGGTCAGACTATATTTGAGGAAATGTATGCTGACCATCTTCTACTCTAAAGCAATAATTCGTCACAGTTGGCTGCTTGTTCATCTAGAACTTGACGACAATCACTCGCCCGGCGTTTCAATACTACTTTACACGAGCTCTAGAGACCCAACCCCTCAGGTCCGTAGTCTGTATACCCCGTAAATGACTTTATCCAGAATATATCTTAGGTGATATTATTGCAGGACAGGTCCGGCGTGTTCGTCGGGTTATGACTAGCGGGAAAGCCTTCCGGTTCGTCACGGTCTGACGGGGGATACTATACGTCGTAGGAGCGAGTGCTGCTTCTGCGCGACAGGCAGTAACCAGTGGGGTAGCAAAGCGGTTGACGAGTGCTGAAAATCCTCAGCACTACTAATATTATGAGCCGCAAATAGCTTTGATTCAGAAGCAAAAAAAGTAACTTACGATGTGGGTACAATTCGCAACGCCAAGAGGTCCTATTAAAGACCACAGTATGCCTTCTGCAGTGTACATGATCGTATGATTTTCGATCCAGATAAAGTAATGCCTTGCGTCAAACAGACACGAAATATCTAGTCGAAGGTTCGGGGGTTCTTGCGTGTACTCGGCGACAACAAGCCCTAAGTTGGGGGTGAATATTGCGCACAGCTCGGGTACAATTGCAAGTAGTGTATCACGTAATTCTAGACTCCGCGAGCTGGAGCTGAAGGCAGGAGCGACCGTGTGAAGTGGAATGTCTTGCGGGTCCCCCGTCCTGTTTGCAAAGCTCCTTCGACTACTTTGCTATCTTGTTTGTCCCAGACTTGTTTATGACTGGAGCCAGTAGAATAGGGACAGTTGTCGCTTTGAGTAATATATCATATGTGCCAGATCACTACACAGTGAATAATATGGTCCCCATGATTTCAAGTAGGTGCCATTGTATATTGTGCCACAGCTCAATGTGCGGCTGTTGCTTGATTTACAACAACGTATAAAAGGCACGGTCAGGTGGCCGTTTGACCACACAAACAACTAGTTGTATGTTTGATTTCTATCAGTAAAGCTCCTGTGGCCTGAGCTATTCACGTTTCGCGCGAATGCTCTTCATAATCTATTTTATCCGTCACATCGTCGAGCAACAATGGCTGCATCCAGTAGAGAACGAGTCAGCTACTATACGAGGGCAAAGTACTGTGTCACTCTCTCCTTCCCTTCCTGTGGCTTCGCGCCTTCCGTTATTGTAGATTGTCTAGGAGTGAGCTGATTTTCCATGAAAAAAAAGAGAACAGGCCGAGGGAAAGGCCGTCGTCGATGTTAAAAAAGCCACAAATTTATATTTTTCTCACCCTCCCACTTCTCTCCCTCTTTACTCTTCTCACACTTCCTCTTCTGCATACTTCTTTAACCTCATTCTCTTTCCCACCATCTGAACAAAGCACAACCAATGGATGACTCGCCTCTGGGATGCCGCACCGTGAGCCTCGAGCTCCTGCGGCAGCAAGTACACCTTGCCCTGAACCCAGATCTAGACGGCTCTGAATTCCTGAGGCCTGACCGAGTTGCCTTGCTTGATCCCTTCACTAATGCTCCGGCTGATATACAGGCTGCAAACATGCAGCGAGTAGCAGATGGATTGGCTCCATTTGAGAGCGGCGACGAGCTCAACGCCCACTTCCTCACAGAGCTGCCTCCGGAGCATGGGGACACTTGGGAGGTCCCCTCCAATCCCCCGGGCTTTGTCCTCAATGGGTCGGGCTTGGAAGGACACCAATCTACAGCGTCCGGAAATACCCAGCATCCTCCAGCTCCCACCACGGCTGCCGCCGTTCCCTTGGACGTTGACGCAAGACTTGCAAACTATTCTCAAGCAATGTACAACCATCATTTGCCGGGTTTCATGTCTTCCGTGTCATCGTTGGACTCGCAGAACATGGGCACTGATGTTGGGGAAGACATCCCGCCCGTTGACAACCTGGAACCACAGGAACTGATTTCTGAGCCCAATCCGCACCCGTCAAGCATGATGTGGACAGATATTCCAGGCGACATGGCCGATACTCTGGAACAGCCGCACACTGGCAATGCTGACGCCATTGAATATACCGCGGACTACGGAATGAACCTCGACCATGACGAGGTGGACTCAAGCGAAGAGCAGTACACGGATAATTCGGTCCGGATTCATCCTGCTACCTATGAGGAAAACGAAGCGGTCTCTCTCCCTCATGAACATACGAGCGGACAGGAGATTATTGTTTCCCCGACAGAGAAGCCAGAGCTGCTGACGTTGCCCCCCAATATATTTTGTCGCGTCTGCGACTATCTCCCCTGGTCGGCCAAGGAGCTGATGAGCAGGACTTGCACACTGATGCGGCAGAGACTGCACAAGGCTTGCAAAATGGTCGTCGGCGGCATGAACAGAGAGGAACACATTCTCTACCAAAACGATATTTCAAAGACTTTGCCGCTTCATGTTGTGTGTGCAGACTGTGCTCGCTTGCACCGCGCCACTTTGGGTGACGTGCCCATCGTCTGCTACCGATCGCCGAACCGCACATGCCCTGCCAAGTTGATGGCGCTTCCGAGGGCACCTTTTCTTTGCATAGGCTATTGCTTGGAGTACCATCATGTTCAACTGGCGCTGAAGCTGCGTCGTCTTGGGCTTTTCCCGGATCATGTCAACAGGATTATGCAGCCCTACTATTTACGCAACAGTGATCAGAACACTTACACCTCTATTGAGGCTTTTATTCGGCCTATTCTGACGGTCCACGAATCTCAACCCTCATTTCTGGTTTTCAAGGCTGTGGAGTTCATTGAATTTGGGGCTACCTACACGACGTCGCTTTCGCCAGGAACACTTCAGTGTCTTACCATCTGCCCTCATTCCTCTCTTGCTAGTAGGGATCCGGCGAGCATGCGCAGCAACGCCATATACCAGGCCATCGCCGACGCCCGCATGGGATTGTTCACGCGCCGGAACTACTCATGTGCTCTCTGTCCGACAGATGTCTCCGTCCATACCCTGCCTGGCCGTCTGCGTATCTACGCCTGGCACGATTTCGGACAAGAGGGCATATCGCCGGTTGACAACGCCTGGAGAGTGCATGTTGGAGGACCCGGAAACAACCAGTTTCTGGGCCCCTATCTGTTTCACCCGAGGGGCACTGTGAAACTCCGGTACGAGGCAGAGCGGTCATACCAGCCTCCGAACAGGCTTCTGGGCGAGAACGAAATTGAACAGTGCACGTTGACCTCGTGGGCGATGCGCGAAGAGGCAATTGTGAATCTGTGGAACAGACTTCAAGGACAAAACGGTTTGCTCCAATACACGTTTTAGTCAGCACGGGAGTGGGCTATCTTTGGGGAGCCTGTTTTTTTGAAAGGGTTGAATGAAAAGGCGACTGTTTGCTAGCCGCCCCATCTCCAGATACTGTTTGTATGGACTCCACATATAGGGTGAAGGCCTTAAGACTTGAAAGTCGGAGATTCTATAGCAAGAACACGAAAATATATTGGCACATACGTGAATCTGATGCAAACGCTTGTATTTGTGGTCTAGCTTTTTTCTTCTCTTCTACAATGCTATATTCGTTTCCCCCAGGGATATTTTATAGCCTAGTATGAAGGTTCTACTAGTTGAAAATGAAGCTGGAGATGTAGTCCGACTTGCCGACAGGCACACCCTTGGCCCGCAGAATAGAGTACGCAGTGGTGACGTGGAAGATAAAGTTGGGGATTCCTTGTTGGATCACAGCTTGCGTTATCGTCAACTGGATTTCCTTGCCACCGACGGTGCTGCAGGAGACGTTAGCTCGTCTCTAGGATGTGATGAATGCTGCCAGAAAAGTGACTGCTGGTACTTACAAATCGGCCGTGTTGGTCCCGCCCCGTGCGTTTGCGACGTCCGGCTTGACCGTCTTCAGTAGCTCCAGGGTGGCACTAATGCGCGTATGCAGCTCGGCAAACGTCTTCTCGCTGTTTGTGAACGGCTCTGATATGTTGCCGGTCAGATGGTCGACGTAGGTCTTCACATTCCGGGTCGAGTTCTGGACCTGGAAGAGAAGTGGAAACTGGTCTTCGATGAGGCGGGCCTGAATAAACTCGGCATCGGCGTCGATGCCCTTCTCCTTGGCATACTCCTCGGCCTTCGTCAGGATGTGGTCGAGCGTCTTGAGGCCACGTGTGAACGTGGGAACAGCCACATCGTAGAGCGTGATGGAGGACATGATGGGATTTCGATGGTGGAGGTAGATCGTGGAGGCGCTTGTAGTAAGTAAGGGAAGTAACAGAAGGGGTTGAGCTAACTCGCGAAGACGTCTTTCTTCAGGCGAAGCATCACCTCTTTATATGCGTAATCTCGGTGGAGTTGGATTGCACGTCGATGATTTAGTTGCATGGCGTGACGGCTCGGGTGTTGACACGATACCTTCCGTTCGGATGCATTAGGAATCAGAAGCTGACAAATTACAACTGGTGGCCTCCGTTGTCGGATAGCCAATCAAACTCGCAGTACGGGGTCTCTTGTGCGAAGCAAGACGCAAAAGGCGAAGCCGGAAACCAAGCCCTTAAAACGTTGCAGTACCTCTGGCTTCCGATTAATAATTGACAGTGACGGCTCTTTCCGGCCCTTGACAGCTTTTTTGTCAGCATATCTGCAGTTGGTCCGGGTACCTAAAATAGGCAGGTAGCTATTCGACCCCTCCACGAAAGCCACGGAGCATAATCTGGGGTGGGGAAGGAGGGGGAGGGATAAAATCGTAAGCAAGCGATTTAATACGACGTAGAGCTCGAAAGAACCTTCCAGCTAGCATGACCGGAGACTTCTTCATAGTATATAGATTGGGATTATCTGTCCTTTAAATTTACGGGGATGGACTTCTTTTGCAAAAAGGAAAAGCCGTATGGCATCGGGTGATGTTTCGCGTCGCTGACTGGCTAATAATATGCTTACTGAATCAATTTATCGTTCTTGGCAGGCAACCAAATTATGGGTTTCTTCGAATCGCATACAGCGTCCAACACTGTGACTATACGATTTACCGACGAGACTATCATGTACGCCAAGTAGCCCGTGTGTATGAATTACCGTTTTGCCCTACGAATGTTGGCCCGATCGACTTGCATGGCCAATCATGTGCCCTCAATGCACCATCGGCCGTAAAACTACCGGTCCTTCCAACCGGCGCTATCTTAAAAATACCATAGACGACGAGCTTGACAATGCCTCTTGGTTGGATTCTCGTTGACTTTCAGACAGTTTTCCTCCTCGACTAAAAGTGTGTTGAGACTGGTGGTCTATCGGGAAGGACAAATTGCTGCACCTGATAAGGGAGGACATGCTGCCAAACTACTTCCGCTTTATGCATTTGTTTGCATCGGGCATGAATCTTGGTTTACACATCCTTTGTGTTCTGGACTATGCTATGAGCGAAACCTCTACGGTCATTCCCAGACGATCAATAACATCCACGCTAACGGAAGCGTCTATGGCTTAGGACACTGCGTTCCTTTGGAGCAGCCGAGAATCTTGAAGATAGCTGTAGCTGGCAAAGATGGAAGCCCGAATTATCAACTACAAGCCGTCTCTCCATTCACCCGAATTCACACGGAACGGACGAGACTGTCAGCTTCGCAGATACCTCGACAAATCTGGCCCTAGAATGTACAACAAGTCAGAGTTACCATGACATTGATTCTCGGCCATCCCAAGATCGAATCCGGACCTGACGCAGCCTACGAATTTATCAAGGCATACAATTAAATATATCTTTATGCTGACCTCCTTTTACAGGCAGCAGTATCCTTTATCAGCGCAGACATTGTACGAGATTTGCTATAGGGAACCCTTGATGCCCCCGACCGTGTCGAAGACCAATTCCTAAGACCACGACTGTTACAACAGACTACGAGGCTTAACCACAGTGCGGGATCCATGTTGTCATTGCTTTGGGTTGTAGGCTGTGCCTGACAACTTTCCATCGATCTTACAGGCAGACATATATCGTTACCAAACTTTTCCACATAGCACCCACACACTACTCTAGATATTCCGGGCGAAGGTCGAAGAACGTGTCGATCTTGAGGGCGGCCAGATCCTCGTCCGAGTATACGTTGGCTCGGACGTCTACATTCGCGGGTGCGGAGCCAAGGAAGAAGGAGCGCTGGGCGGCTGGCAGGTGGAGGCGCATGGTGTAGTTGGGATGCGCGGGGCTCTGGTAGCCAAGACCGATCATGATGCGATGCTGGTCGCTGTTGTTGGGCATGCCGGCATGCCAGGTGCGCAGATCGCGGATGACAATGTCACCACGACGCAGTGACGGCTGGAGCGGTGGTCGAACCAGCCGGCGAGCCTGGCGAGCAGCAGCCGAGACATTGGGCACGGGCTCGTTGAGGCGCGAGAACGGGCCGGGCGTGTCGGCCAGGTCGGTCAACATGTCGTTGTCACGCCAGGAGGTGTGGGCGTGCGAGCCGAGCCAGAACTCGGTGGCCCCGTTGGTCTCGCTGAAGTCACAGAGCGGGATGTTGGCGATGAAGTAGTAGGGGAACATGGGGTGTTCAAAGGCGCAGTCCTTGTGCACTGGTTGTCGCATTCCGGCCGTGTTGGCCACGGCCGTGTTGGCTGTCAGCCAGTTCCAGATAGGACGATGGCCGAGGTATCTGGACGGTCAGCAAGTTGCATGGGACCCATGCTGAGCGATTTGTAGCCGGGACATACGCATTCCCCACCTGTAGGACAAACGGATTGAAGTAGACGTCCTCATACAGTAATTCAGTATCTGTGATGGGCGGGCCCGTTGCAGAAAGTTGGCTTCGGATACGGTCAGCCTGGAGAGAGCCTGCAGGAGAGGGAGGCGGGTAGATAGAAGGTACATTTGACGTTGTGGTTGAAGTCCTGGCTGTTGTCGGCAAGCCGCACCTCAGCATCCTTGCACATCCTTGTGTTGAGGGAGTCCACATGATCGACAGGGATGACACCCCGGAGAACGACAAGACCATCCTGATGCAACGCTTCCAATGCACGTATCAGCGACAGCGGTGCGTAGGCGCCCCTTTTCAATTCCTCTGCCGACAGAGTGACCACACGGGCGGCATCTTTCGGTTCTGTAGACAGGCTGCCCATCGTGGTGTCGTTTGGTCTGGTATTTCGGCTTTGTGTTTGGGAGACAGACTTCAGTCGGATTGCGTCACCCTCTCTTGCCGTCTTGTTTGCTTCACAAACAACGGAAGCACGCACCTTATCTTGCCGCCTTTACGTCGAATAAGGTATCGGCGACCTCCTAGTCTGCTGTTCTTATCACAATTAGGCGATTGCCTTAATATACAACCAATTGAAACGCTTTCGCAATCCGTAGCCTATATATAAAGAACTTGTTATCTGTCAGATTCCCGGTGCCGGATAGCTGAAATTGCTCTACCCCAGATTGTGGATGTTCAACGGTGCCGAATAGAGAGCCGTACGTCTGACTAGTTTACTTTACGGACGAGCGACGGCATCTCGCGCGCGATATCCTCAAAGAGGGCGTCCATCTGTTTGCGCAAGTCTTCTTCGTCGATGGCGAGGATTTGGAAGTCTCTGAGAACGATCTTGCCATCGACGATGGAGTGCTGCACGGCCGAGCCGTTGCATCCGAACACGAGGTGGCTCTCGAGCATGGTCTTGCGGCGGGCGGGGTCGTGGAGCAGTGGGGTGAACATGTGATTGTGCGTAAGGTCAAGCACGATGAGGTCGGCTTTGGCGCCTTCGCGAACAACACCGGCGTCGATGCCGAGCGCGTGGGCGCCGTTGCGCGTAGCCATGCGAAGGATCTCATGCGGACGGCCCAGCGAGGCATCGCGGTGGAGGGCTCGCTGAACGAGCGAGGCGATCTTCATCTGGGCAAACATATCTGGGCTGTTCTCGCACTCGAACGCGTCGATGCCGATGCCGACATTGACGCCGGCCGCAAGCAAATCCTGCAGCCGGGCAATGCCGTTGCCGAGCTTTGCGTTGGACCCGGCGTCGTAGGAGACGGAAGTGCCCGTAGCCGCGAGCAGTTGAACATCCTCGTCGTCCAGGTGCACGCAGTGGGCCGCTACAGTGTCCGGACCCAACAAGCCGGCTTCGTAAGCCAGCTGCACGGGCGATCGGCCACCGTAGCATGCCCTTGTCTCGACCACCTCGCCCTCCGACTCACACAGGTGCAGGTGAAGTCCCGTTCCCAGTGCCTTCTTCGCCCGGCCGACTGCCTGTAGCAGGGCCAAGTCTGACGTCAACATCCACTCGAGTCCTAGCCAGACGCGCACCCGGCCATCCGACGAGGACGACAGCCGCTGCTGCTTGTTGTGTGCCCAAAAGGCCGCCTCGTTGTCCGCTAGCGAGTCCAGCCCGTGCTCGGCCAGCGCAATCTCGCCGCCCAGCGTCGCCCGGATGCCAATCTCATCAGCCGCTCTGACTCGCGCGCCTACAAAGCGGTACATGTCGTTCACCGTCGTTGTACCCGACTTGAGCGCCGCGCAGTATGAGTGCATCGCTGCCACAAACGTGCGCTCCTCATTCAGCGCCCGCACGCTCGGATACCACACCTCCTCCAAGTATTCCTTCAGCGGAAGCTCATCGCCGAAGCCCTGTCCCATCTTGCGTCAGTTTACCCGGTAGATTGTCGAGTCCGGCTGCTGCGCCTCGGAGACGGGCTTGCCTTGGCCACAGATGTGTGGAAATGTAGATCGACTAGCCCCGGCATGACCAGCTTATCGGTGCCATCGATCACTGTGGTGGTAGGGTCCGTGAGACTCTCGGCACTGGGGCTGCCTCCATAGACGCCAGCTATGCGGTCGTTGACAATTTCCACGGTGCCCGGGTAGTAGAATGTATCCTCATCGTCCAATGTGAGGACGGTCGTGTTGTATATCACAATGCGACTCATTGCGTGTCGTGCTGCTCTCGACTTGTCGGGGGAAGATTATTCGCATGCCTATCGCCAGCTGGTTCTGGGGCTGTGGAGCTCGTCAGCCCCGATCACTGGCAGTACGGAGTACATTTTGCCACGTAAACGGCTCAGTGGAGTAGAGACTAGAGCGGTAACTCTGATAACGTCGGAAAAGCATATGGTAAGATACGAAGTGTTCCGTAAATATTTTGAGATAGATCTTGCTTGGCAATATATGTCGCAACGGAAGGACAACAGATCACGTAGTTGCAATAACGCTGGAATGACCGTGACTGTCGCTTGCTGACGTAAGGTCGTCGAGAATGTTTTGTTACATGGTTCCGAGGACTTCAGGTCAATCTGGTCAGCTAAGCTGGAGAAGGGATGACGAAGGGCGATCCACATTCCGGGATTTGAATGAGCCAACATGGTTCCGTAGCTGCAAGGAGAAAACTTGCGAGTGATGGAAATTAGACTGAGACATTTGTGTGGGCGAAACACGTTCATCATCAGACTCCAAGCACTCCGTACAAGTTCAGACATTCTTCGTGTTGAGATTTCGTAGGGATGTGGTTTAGTGGCTACTCTCTATTCATCATTTTGCTTTGCAACAAGTCCAGCAGTCACCCTGCCGATTGTGTCAGTTTCAAGTCTTGCAAAGGAGGGGAAATAGTCGTATGTACTTCTTGATTTGTAAACTAAATTTCGTGTCAGAACTGCTACAGAAACAGAGACATCGACGCACTCACCCAAGACTCGGGACATTTGGGCTCATCCAGGAAGCACAACGTCATACAGTGATTTGAGTGGTGTCAATCCGTGTAGCCAAAGCCTTACTGAGAAGAGAGGCAACGATAAAACTCGACTTTTTCATATTGGTCGATTCGAAGACGATGAAAAGGCTTGATTTGTTCGAACGTGGTACAGTACAAGTAGAATCCGGTGATTATACCTGGACAAGGAGAGGGATGACTGCGTACTATGCATAGTATAGCCAGTTGCCCCGTCTGAGATGACTGCAGACGACTAACGCTTTGTCTTGCCGAAACAGATTTTTATGTAGCAGCGGCACAGTCAGGGATGAGCCTCCCACCGGGCAACTACCTATTATAGCATAGCTCGGAAAACACACGCGATGTACAGAGTAAAGAGTACAACGGATAGTTATTCTCGTATGAAGCCACCTTTGACACTACCATTCGTCACGATTTTGAGCCGGCTTACTATGGCAGACAGCGCACGGTGTTCTGCAGTGCAATCCTGTTTATGTCCACGTGACAGATCTATGACAATATGTTGTGGCTTCTACTCCGTGCACCACTAGTCTGTCACGCAGGTTCTGCGTGATCACCAGTGTAAGACCCGTACGGCAATCCTTGTGGGATATTCGTCCGGACCAGTTGCACGTATCGTAGTAAGCTCTAAGGCCTTCAGAAGATCTAGTTATGATATTTCGTTGGGTGGTTGACTGATTGAAGACCAGACTGTGCGCAGTATGCGCGCAGATCAGGGCTTCGTCTTATCTAGTGATTTCGGCGGCCGAGGTCAAGTCAGGTGACCTCGGGGAAATCCACAATGTAAAAGGAAAGAACCCGATATTTACTATCGCTAAAAACGTGAGGTTACTTTTCTGTCAGGAATTTATAAGCGATCAATGCGAGTATCTGCGATAGCTGCTCCAGCTCGCCCACCTCCACGTATTCGTTCTCAGCCCCCATCCCGTTTGGCGTGAGCCCGACCACCACACTCGGCACTCCAGCTGGACGATACAGCCGGGTGTCGCTAGCACCGACGCGCATGTTGGCTACGACTGGCCTGTTTAGAACTGAAATGCTTGCCTGTATTGCTGTCTGTACTAGCTCGTGTGACGGTGGTGTGTAGGACGGTTCATATGCCCTAACGATCTTCACCGATATGCCCTCAATGGAAGCGACGTGTTTCTCGATGTAGGATCTGACGTCGGCGACGGTGACGCCGATGGGGAGTCGTATGTCGCCCTCTGCGTGTGCTGATGCCGGCACAAGATTGCGCAGAGTGCCGCCGCTGATGAGGCCAATATTGACAGTGACACGTCGAAGGGTCTCGCTCTCTCCGAGACCAGACAGGGCCTCCGAGATAGGTCTTGCGTCTTCGATGGCGCGGTCAATCTCGGCCGGTGCAGGGCGAATCGGCATGGTCTCGAGGCCCTTGATAGCATCCAGAGCCTGGCGGAGGCGGTCGACCGCGTTGACCCCTTTGTGCACGTGGGCGCCATGTGCCGCCGTACCGGCTGCAGCGATTTCGAACCAACAGAGGCCCTTCTCGCCGAACCGAACGACGTCTGGCGAGCCGACGTCGGGGCAGACCATGGCGTCGCCTCGGGCTTCGGGCACGTTGTCGAGCAGCCACTGGGATCCGTGCGTGCCCATGGTTTCCTCGTCGCCGGCCAGCGTGATCGACAGGTCGCCAGCCCAACGGTCGCGGTTCTCAGCGAGCACGCGGACCGCAACCAAGCACGCAGCGATGCCACCCTTCATGTCGCAGACGCCGCGACCATGGATGCGGTTGTCGGCCGTGAGAGCACCGCTGAGCGGGTCGAGCGTCCACGGCAGCTCTGCACAGAGAGGATAGGTGTCAAGGTGGCCATTGAAGACCAGTCGCCGTCCCGGCCGGCCAGACGACACGGTCGCAACGACGTTGACAAGGCCTGGGAGGGGCGAATAGCGACTGATGCGGACATGGGGAATCTGCTGCTGAATCAGCGCCTCGGCTATGCCAGCCACTGCGGCTGTGTCGAGCGAATCTGGCGATGCCGCCCGCACAAGCGCCTGTGCTGCGCCGACTAGGTCAGCACGGAGCTCTGCGATCCGTGCTGAGACAAAATGGGCATCCATTGCGATGAGGTGTGGGTGGAGAGGCGGCCTGCAGGCGGGGGAGAGAGGCTGATGCCTTCTGACGAGGGGCTGGGTGCTTGATAACGGTCACATGCCTTTGATAGGAGTCCTGTACCATTCAACCTTGCAGAACGGCTGTGGCTGTGGCAGGCTTATTTTCTTGGCGAGGCGCGTCGCATCTTATGTGGACAAAACAACAACAGACGATTGGTTTTTCCTCTTGCAGCGGGGGAATGTGGTTTGCCAAGGCGAATGCCCAAACCTGCAAGTCAAATGAGCTTCCCAAAAGGTCACTCGGTCGCAAAGGCCAAGGTTTGGCATCGACTAAGGCACGAAATATGCCCACGCTTTCTGCGCCTGGACCTGACGAGTGTCGGTGAGATGGTAGAACCGACCCTAGACATCTGACAAGATAACGCACTGTAACCATAAACATGATCCTTATTGCGTACGTAATACTACGGTAGCATATATTAAAGCGGACGGCCCTAATACCATGCGTCAGCGACAAGCTTTTTCATGCCCTCTTCTTTTGAAGAAAAATTCGGAACCGCAACGTCTCTTCCCATAAACAAACGGCATTTCACGCAGGTCTGCAAACGATGAGCGGCCCAATCCCGGATGCCTCCCAAGGCGAAGCGCAAAACAATGGGGTCGAAAAAGAAGCCGTAGTCTTCAGTCGAAGTGACGAGGATGTCGCTGCCCAGACCACCGTCGGCCTACAGCGCCAGCTCAAAGCCCGTCATCTGAGCATGATAGCACTTGGAGGAGCACTGGGAACAGGTCTGGTCATTGGCACAGGTGCTGGCTTGGCTCGAGCCGGTCCGGCTCCCATTCTCATCACCTACTCCCTCGTCGGCTTCGTCGTCTACCTCGTCCTCGGCGCTCTCGGAGAGATGGCCACCTGGATTCCCCTCGAGAGTGGCTTTTCTGGATACACGTCTCGATATGTCGATCCGGCCATGGGCTTTGCTGTTGGCTACTGGTGCGTCTCTCACTTTCCTGCTACCAAGTCGTGATCAAAACATTATGCTTACGTAATCATACAGCTATTGGTTCAAGTACCTCTTCCTCCCGCCTGCTCAGCTGACTGCTGCCGCCCTCGTTCTGGAATACTGGGTTCCGCGCGAGCGTGTCAATCCCGGCGTCTGGATTGCCATCTTCCTCGTCGTTATCGTCTTCATCAATCTTTTTGGCGTCGCTGTCTTTGGCGAGATGGAGTTCTATCTTAGTGCCATCAAGATTTTGGTCGTCCTCGGAATTCTCATTCTCTCCCTCATTCTCGTCTGCGGCGGCGGTCCGAATCATCATACCTACGGCTTCCACTATTGGTCCAAACCTGGAGCGTTTAATCCTTACATCGGGAGTACGTTCCCCGTCTCTTTGCTGTTTTTCGCCTGCGATATGTGCATATATATCTAACGTATGAAAAGGCGGAAATTCTGGTCGCTTTCTCGCCATTCTTTCTGTCCTCGTCACCGCAACTTACGCCTTTCTCGGCACCGAGCTGATCTGCATTACATTCGGCGAGGCCGCGAACCCGCGACGAAACATCCCGCGCGCCATCCGTCTGACGTTCTACCGCATTCTCGTCTTCTATATTCTCTCTATCCTCTTTCTTGGCATGCTCGTTCCCTACAGCTCCGATAAACTCAAGACTGCCATCTCGAAATCCACGTCTGCAGACGCCTCGCCCTTTGTGGTGGCCTTCAGAATTGCTGGCGTCAAAGTTATTCCCGGATTCCTCAACGCATGCTTCCTCATCTTCGTCTTTTCCGCTGCCAACTCTGACCTCTACATCGCGTCTCGAACCATCTACGGTCTGGCCGCTGAGGGACTCGCACCCCGGTTCCTCGCCCACACCACTCGAAACGGTGTCCCCATCTACTCATTACTGCTCTCGAGCGTGTTTGCCTGCATTGGCTTCCTCAATGTTCACACTTCGTCTGCTACTATTTTCAACTACTTCACCAATCTGGTAACCGTCTTCGGGATCCTCACCTGGATCTCGGTGCTGGTGACGCATATCTTCTTTGTGCGCGCACGTCGGGCACAGGGAATTCCCGACTCGTCCCTCAATTATGTCGCACCATTTGGACTCTGGGGAACATATGGTGGCCTTGCCGTGTGCATCTTCATTGCCTTATGCAAAAACTACAGCGTCTTTGTTCACTCGTCTAAGACAAGCGGTCATTACGGCAACTTCGACTATAAGAACTTCATCACTGGCTATCTGGGTATCCCGATATATCTTGTCATGCTTTTTGCGTTCAAGTTCATCAAGAAATCTAGAGGTGTCGGGCCCCGTGAGGCAGATCTGTTCAGCGGTAAGAAGGAGGTTGATGACGAGGAGATAGAGTATCTAGAGCTGGAGAAGCAAGCTGCGAGGGCCAGAGGGACAAACGTTTCGAGGATGTACAGATTTGTTTCATGGCTATTTTAGAGAAAGTACATAATGTTGCTGTTATGCAGCAATCGAGTAATTACAAATAGACTTGGTATAATTGGCTGATAGATTGTTACCACACGATGTCGCAATATGCATTGTATGCATTACACCTAGATCAGTAAGATACTTTCTGAACAGTTGCATGTTTGTATGCAGAGTTTAGATGAGAAAATTGCTTCTGTCTTATATGTGTATTGTAGTACGACGTAAGCTAAAAGCAGATAAAAGGCGTGAACTGGGTTTGCTTGAAGCAAATGCATATTTCAATTGAGCTTTCAGATCGCATTGGGTACATTGCGGCAGTAGCTGTCGACACCCTTTTTAGCTCGAGTTCGTTTCTACACATGGAAACTTTTCTCTGCTCGTTGTTGGTGGTGTTCTCCGCTTGATGGGCCGGAGTGATTGTCGGAATTGCCCCCCCCCCCCCAACAAAGTCCCGAGGTTCCATTTTCAAGTAGACGCGAAGCCATTTGGTGATCTATACTAATACGTAGCGTTCAGACGCATAGCCATGTAATCTCCACTATTGATGGGCTCGTATTTTTTCGGTTTATCAGGGCCAGAGCAGCCAGGCAAACAGTCGATAACCTTTTCACGATCTGCTGACACAAAGTATGGGATCGAATAGCGTGAAGGGGTAACTCTTCCATTTCCATAAGCCTCTTGTTCAGTCTTCATAATGCCATTCTCAGATAGCAGCGGTGCTCGCACACGATGTAGTGTAGATTTCAGACTGTCGTTGCTCCATCGCTGCAGAAAATCACCTATGTTGACCAAAACGGTTCCAGGTACGGGCGGTGCGGGATTAAACTTGCCCTTTTCGTGGATATCCTCGACTTCGAGGCCACCGACAGTGTCCTGGAACAGAAGTGTCATCGTACCATAGTCCGTGTGGCTTGCACAGCGTTCCATCTTCCCGCGTCGCACATGGGCCTCTTCTACTGGAGGATAATGCAGCAGGCGAATCTGGTTGTCCTTGTTCGTGTGGTAATTCCAGAAATACCGTCCATCCAGGCCCATTCCCAACGCAATGACGCGAAGCAACTGCAGCTCTAGCACGTAGCACTTCTCGTAAAACTTTAGAAAGAACAGCTTGAAGCCCGGCAGCATCTCTTCCGGCAGCCAGATATTGGGCATTGCGATATCGTCTTCCCGCCCCATTTCAAATAACTCCTTGTAGTCGGGAACCTTGCGCAGTTCTCCGATGGCGGCGTGGTCGAAAACCATCTGACTGAGCTTCTCGCGGCCAATTCCGCTGTATCTGTTGCGCGGTGGTGCACGGACCACCTCTAGTGCAGAGTTTTCAGCCCAGACTTCCTCTAGCTTCAGATAGCTGTCTTCCTTCTGAATACAACGATCTTCGCCTCATCAGTATCCACGATGCCACCAGCCTTGTGGTGGATGTGGGGCTATTTCTTTGGTGGCCTGGGGAAGAGCAAAGAACCTGGCACTCTGGTGACGTTAGTGGCTAGCTAATGCCAACAGCTACTAGTTCAATGAACATGGGGTCTCGGGTCTTGGTACCCAGCTAAAGGCCTCGTCTATGGTATCCTGAGGAAAGCCATGGTTGCTGAGATAAGCAAAGCCAAAGTCTCGAAATGCCTCGTAGACAGCTCGACCGACGGCTGCAGCATCGTCAGATCGGCCGCTAAGCAACGGCGCAAAGTCGATGATGGGGATGCTAGCCTGTTGGAGGGGAGAGTCCATGCTGGGCTCTCGTGCGATCAACGTGTCCCCACAATTCAAAGAGATAAGGATGGCAGGCTCGCGTTTGCTGTCTCAATTGCAGGCCAAAAATGATGCTGTTTACCGATGTGTCAAGTCTGATCAAAGCAATTCGACATCGTTCGTTGGCCCCAAAGTACGATACCCCACTAAGGGCCAGTATGCCAATCATTAACTCTGTTTGCCTATCGCGATAGGCATTTCTGTGCGCCTTGGCAAGCCACTGCAGACGCCACTGTATGCGTCGTATGACGGCCTGGGCGAAAAACGAGTGAATGCGCAAGGCCACAGGCGTTGCAATACGGACTGTCTTGAAGTCGAGTGACGTACCATTAGTGTTCCATCAAACATTGAACGCAAGGACAGTTTTTTTCCAATAGTACAATATTCTACTGCGCTGACCACGATGCAGGTCGAGGCAAAAACGGCCCAAGAGGAGAGCGAACAGACTCGCGGTGCCTCTGGGATGCGGAACGTGCGTCGCCTTGTAGGTGGATATTCGCTGCCGGCATACTCCGTACGTCGTAGAGATCCCTTACGCGTGTACCCATTTCTTATCAAGCGGGAGCTAACCGATGTAATAAGCTCGTATTGGGTGACCCTGTCGGTAAGATGCTTGGCAACCGATTTATTGTCTATTAGTGATTCGCTTTACTGTCTTATCTGGTGTCTTCGGACCGGGGAGTGATCAGTTTCTCCGGTTTATGGATCTCCGGTTCACGGATGATAAAAAATGATTCATTTTCTTGACATGCCCCGGCCGGAGCATAAGAAAAGGGACTTGCACGATTTAGAGGCACGAGGATTGATGTTGCATCCTAACGCATTGTCTGTGATAATGTCGCTGCCCTGTACGACTATTACATAGAGTACTCCTTCACATAGGGCGCCTTCTTGTCGCTTTTCGCCACGTCATACGGCGTAGTGCCTTGTAATTGATTGTCAGCCGGAACAATGCCGCGCTTCGCTGCCTCCGCAGCTGTGAAAGTGTCATAAACGTCCATCTCGTCATATTCGCCCATTCCGAGAACGGGGAAGAGCTTGTTGAGAGCATAGAAGATGATGGCACTCGTAAAGAAGCCTGGGTGATGTTAGACGGGAAGAAATGGGGGAAATGATTAGTCAGCATACTTACCGATCAGGAAGGCCATGTAGTAGAGCTGGTACAGGGCCTTGGCGCCATCAGTCCTGCCGCTGGCCTTGTAGGCGAGGCCGCCAACAGTCGGGGCCCAGCCACAAAGCCAGGCGGGAATGGCACGCCAGTTGACGCCATGCCAGTACCAGTAATCAGAGGTCTCGGGGTGGTAGAGATGAGAGAGCTTGATTTTGCGGTGGCGCAGGATGAAGTAGTCGGTAGTCATGATGCCCATGATAGGGCAGAGGAAGACTGAGAAGGAGCTGAGGACGCTGACAAAGGTGGCGGCCTTATTGACCAGCTGCCACGGCTGGACGACCCAGGCGGCGACAAAAGTGAGGATGGCACCGCGGCGGATGTTGATATAGCGGGGGAAAAGTCCGGCGAGATCGATGCCACCGGCGACGGAGTTTCCGCAGATATTCTCAAACATGGCAGTCAGCATGAAGCCGAAAGCGAGGAAGAAGACGCCGGCACGGGAGCGGCTGGAGCCATCGCCCTGGTCCATCATGACCATGAGGAGGTCAGGGGGGTTCCAGTAGACGCTGCCGTAGATCTTCTGGGCAGCGCTGGTGGTGACGAGGCCGACGAGCGAGACCATGACACCGACGATGAGAGCGGACAGGGTGGTGCCAGCGACGTAGTGCTGCCAGCCGCGGGCGTAGCGGGAGAAGTCAGAGCCGTTGGTGATGCCGGCAGCGATGCCGCCAATCATCTGATTGAGGCCGCCGACGATGAGCCAGGAGGCACTGAACCTGGTAGTGGAGGGGATCTGCTCGCCGGTGTGCCACAGCGGACCGACGCCGTTAGCCTCGGCGAGGGCCCAGATCATCATGCAGAGCATGCCGACGCCGCAGTAGATGGACGTGATCATGAACGGGAGCTTGAACTTTTCGGGGCGGATGGCCAAAAAGGGGGTGGAGAGGGTCCAGAAGACGATGAAGCCGACGAACTGGTAGGCCGTGGCTGGGATGCTGGTGGGCAGAAAGTTGTGCATCTTGGCAAACGAGGGCCAGATGGCGGTGATGCAGACGGCCGCCAGCCGGCCGCCATTCCAGCATTGGACCGCGTTCCAAATAAAGTTGAGCAGGATGCGCTGGAGCAGGGGAATGTAGCTGGCGCGGAGGCCCCAGGAGAAGCGATTCTGAATGGTGAAGCCGACGTGCCAGTCCATGCCACACCAGGCAATGAGGGTGGAGAAGAGGAGGATGAGGACACGGCCGATGGTGATGATGGCCATGGCCTGGCGGATGGAGAGGCCCTCGGCTGAGAGTGTGTTAGCGGCGTGCAAGAGCACGAACGGATGGAAGCAATTTACCGAGAAACGTGTTGGGAGTCTGCCAATTGGAAATGTTGAGGGACGACAGGGTCCAGTACCCAAAGAAGTGAAACCATCCTGGTCTGTTAGCAGGGCAGACTCAGGTGCAGATGACAGGGCAACGTACCCCAGATGCGACGCTGAGGAGGCAGAGGGATCAGATCGCGGTTGCTCCATGCATCTGTTTGTTCGTGCTGGGAGTCGTCACCATGGAGCCTCAGGCGCTCCTTCAAACCGTTTGCACGCCTCCGAAGGCCGGCGGTGGAAAAGGCCATGGTCGTAGCGGTGGAGATAAGATTGAGTGTCGTGCTGGGTCTACCGGACTTGTGCGTTCCAAGCCGTTCGCCGTCTTGGAACATATATACATTTGACGGGACAGTCTGGGCGAGGAGAGAAAATACCTCGTGTAAAAAGAAGCTTTATCGGTGAGATTGGCTCCAAGGCAAGCTTGACCTGCCTGAATGCCTATCTGGAACGGAACGATACGAAGTGCGACGCAAGAACGTGGCGATGGGTCCACAAGTAGCATAAGTGGTTTGCCGATCAGCGATTGCGGTCGGCCAACTTTTCCGGCTGACGAGTGCGCAATTATCCGGGAATGATAAAGGCTGCATTTCGTTAATTTGCGCAGGGCGTCGGACTGTAGATTCAGGTCAGAAACAGAAGCACAAGTCTACCGAACATGGCTCTTCCAAAACGGTTCCGCATTGGTGTCGATGTGGGAGGCACCAACACGGATGGAGTGATCCTGGACCCAACACGGGCAGACGAGGAGGGCAAAGGGATTCTGGCGTGGCACAAGGCGCCGACGACGACGAATCCGAGCGAGGGAATCAGCGCAGCGATCACGGCCATGTTTGAGAGGTCCTCAGTGGCGCCGGAAGAGGTGGCGAGCGTGACGATCGGGACGACGCATTTTGTGAACGCGGTGGTGGAGCGAGACGCGAGCCGGCTGTCAGCGGTAGCAGTGCTGCGACTCTGTGGGCCGTACTCAAAACACTCACCGCCGTGCATCGACTGGCCGGACGACATGCGGGCATTGATCCTGAAGCATTACGCCCTGCTGCCAGGTGGCCTAGAGGTGGATGGATCGCTGATCGGTGACATTGACGAGGCTGCGATCCGGGCAGAATGTGCGGTGATTCGGGCCAAGAGCATCCGCAGCGTGGTGGTTTGCGGCATCTTCAGCCCGATCGACACGATGGAGCGACAGGAAGAGCGAGCAGCAGCGATTATCGAGGCCGAGCTGCCGGGCTGCGATGTGGTGCTGTCGAAGGAGGTGGCCAACCTGGGCTTTGTGGAGCGCGAAAACGCGGCGATTCTCAATGCGGCAATCCTGGCGTTTGCGCGGCGCACGATCCGGTCATTCCACGAGCCAGTGCAGCGGCTGGGCCTTCGCTGTCCTGTCTTCATCACGCAAAACGACGGGACGATCCTGTCGGGAGCCATGGCGGCACGGCTGCCCATCCGCACATTCTCGAGCGGACCGACGAACAGCATGCGCGGGGCAGCCTTTCTCGTCGGCAGCAGCGGTCTGGACGAGGCCCTGATGGTGGTCGACATCGGTGGCACCACCACGGATGTCGGTCTTCTGATGCCGACCGGCTTTCCGCGCCAGCAAGCAGCCTATAGCGAGCTTGCCGGTGTGCGGATGAACTTTTCGTGCCCGGACATCAAGAGCATCGGGCTTGGGGGCGGGTCGATTGTGCGGAGGGTGGAGGGTAGTGGTGGTGGTGGTATAACCGTTGGTCCCGACAGCGTTGGATACAAGCTGACCGAGGAGGCCATTGTGTTTGGCGGCAGCGTGCTGACGACGACGGACTGCACGGTGATGGCTGACCCGAGTCACGTGACCATCGGGGAGCCGGAGCGGGTCTTGGGTCAGCTGACCGCAGCCGAGCTGGCAGCCTGCCAGGCGATCGTCCGGCAGAAGATAGAAAAGGTCATTGACACGATGAAGACGTCGCCCGAGGATGTGCCGGTGCTGCTGGTGGGTGGTGGAGCGGTGATCGCGCCAGACGAGCTGCAGGGCGCGAGCCGCGTGCTGAAGCCGAAGTGGTCGTCGGTGGCCAACGCAATCGGCGCGGCCATTGCTCGGGTCAGCGCAGTCGTCGACACGGTCAAGTCGACCGAAGGCGTGACTACAGCGGCTCTGCTTGAAGAAATTGCAGCCCAGGCAGTGTCACGGGCAATTGAGGCGGGCGCGGCCGCCGACACAGTCAAGATTGTCGAGATGGAGACGTTGCCGCTGCAGTACATTGCAAACAAGTCGCGGTTTATCGTGCGAGCAGCAGGTGACTTTGACTACTCGCGGGCAGAGGTGGAGGTGATGGAAGCGGACGGCGAGGATGAATCGAACGGGCTGAACGAGATGGACCAGTACGAGAAGACGGCAGACAAGACAGCCAAGTCCGACAAGGCTGCAGCGGCTCCCGACTTCAACATTGACACATACAGGCCGACAGTGCATCGGCGACAGTGGCTGGTCAACGAGATAGACCTTGGCTGGATCAGCACGGGCTGCTACATTCTCGGAACGGGCGGCGGTGGCTCGCCGTATCCGCATATGATCCGGCTGCGCGAGATGCTGCGACAAGGGGCTGTGGTGCGGGTGGTCAGCCCAGACGACTTGGCGGACGATGCGCAGGTCGGCACGGGTGGCGGCATGGGCTCGCCCACGGTCGGGGTTGAGAAGCTGCCAGGCGATGAGATGCAGGAGGCGCAGTACGAGCTGTTCAAGATCTGCGACCGGCCGGCCACCCACATGATTGCGCTCGAGATCGGCGGTGGCAACGGGTTGCAGGGCATGATACTCGGTGCGAGCAGCATGATGGACATGCCGGTTGTCGACGGCGACTGGATGGGTCGAGCCTATCCGACCAAGTGGCAGACGACACCGGTCGTCTTCAACGAGCGGTCGCCCGTCTGGTGTCCCATCGCCATGAGTGACGGCAAGGGCAACGTGCTGCTGATGCCCCGGGCCACGTCCGATCTGCAGGTCGAGCAGGCATTCCGTGCTGCCCTCAGCCAGATGGGCTCGCACACCGGCTGTGCCGAGGCCCCGCTGTCGGGCGCCGAGACCAAGCGATGGGTCGTCGAACACACCGTGTCGCAGGCCTGGCGCATCGGCCGTGCCGTTGCGAGAGCACGCCGCATGAACCGCATCGACTCCGTGGCCGAGACCATCATCGACGCATGCGGTGGCCCGGCGGCGGCTCGCGTCATCTGGAAGGGCAAGATCGTCGGCGTCGAACGTACCCTGCGGATGGGACATGTGTACGGCGAGTGCATCATCGAAGGCGCGGACGTGGCTGCGGACGGCTATGAGGCTGCTTCACTCGACCATGGCGCCGATCAGCCGGCCCCCTTTGTTGGCCGCGTCAAGATCCCGTTCAAGAACGAGAACATTGGCGTGATCCGGATCTCCAAAGGTGCCGACGTCGCCACCAAAGAATGCCAGCAGGATGTGCTGGCGCTCGTGCCCGATCTCATCTCCGTCATCGACGCCCAGAACGGCGAGGCTATCGGCACTCCCGAGTATCGCTACGGCCTGCTCGTCATCGTGCTCGGCATCGCCGCCAGCGACCGCTGGACTGGCTCTGAACGCGGCATCCAGATCGGCGGACCCGATGCCTTTGGCTTCAACTACCTCAAATACGATCCGCTCGGCACGTACATCAAGCCAAAAAGTGTCATTGACGAGTATGACTGCTAAGCAGTAGAAGAAGTAGAAAAATATATGGAATACAGCACATCTGAACATGCAGACTGTCTGTTGAAAAAAAAAGAAAACGCCAAGAGTGGTGTACCTAAAACTTCAGCGTCTGTCCCGCGTTCGCCATCACCGAGCTCTTCACGTTGGCTGATCCCAGAAGCTTGTACGAGTACGGCACACTCGTCAGCGTTCCCGTCGCTGCCGTGTTCTTCGAGCCGCCCAGGTCCACGTCCTTCACCACAGCAAAGCCTGCCGAGTGACTGTAGGCCGAGTAAATCACCTCGCTGCTCGCGTTTTCAAACACCGACGACTCTATCAGAAGCTGCGCCCCCATCCGCGTGTTGATGCCGTCGTTGACGTTGCTGTAGTAGGAGCTGTACACAAGGTAGATGTCAGCAGAGATCTCACATGTCTCTCCACGAGCTGCCTTACTTGAAGATGTGCCCCGTGCCAAACCGGACCGATGGTCCCCGGCTGTTCACGTTGGTCCAGTAGTTGTTGGCAAACGTCACGATCAGGTGCCCGGTGTCCTGAGCCCCGTTGTTGTCCGAGTGGCCCACAAGAGAGGCCTTGAACTGTTTGTTGTGCGTCTTTGTCAGCCATTGCCTCGTTCGGTGTTCTCCACATTTCTTGCTTACGTGATCGTGCAGGTGTGTGTTGGAGATCGTGATGTAGTCGCTGGCATGGGTCACGTCCATGAGCCCATCGTAGAAGTCTTTGTCGTGGTCCCGGTCGCTGGAGACGTCGCAGTGGTCCACCCAGACGTTGTTCGACGCCTGGATCCCGATCGCGTCGCCGTTCGCGGCCAGAACCTTGCTGATCTTCATGTTGCGCACGATCACGTTGGACGCCTTACTGATGAAGAGGCCGACTCCTGTCATGGCTGCATAGGAAGTCTGTCTTAGTCATGTTCCTTCAAATCTTTGGAATTGTCTGTGGAAAAACGTACAGCTGCCAGATGCGCCGATGATCGTCTTGTTCGACGCCACCCTCACCTTGTCTGCCCCGGTAATCGCACCGCTCACGACGATCACCATTGAGTCTTTCGACGAGGCCGCCGCCGTCAGCTGGGCCAGCGTCGACACCGTCGTGGTCGTGCCGCCTGAGCCGCCAGTCGTCCTGTCATTAGATGCACAGTCAGCCATGGATCTCACCGGGCGCACGCTTGCACACATACCCGCCATTCTCGGTGGCGTAGCCAATATCACAGGCATCCGTGATGGAAGCTCTCTTCTGAACCGTCCGACGGTGCACGGCAGAATCGCCTTGAAGAGTTCGGGTTGGCACTGCCACCGCGACGGAAGCCAGCATGGCCAGGAGTGACGCTGTGAAAATATGCATTTTGTTTTGTTCGAAAGTACAAGCACAGCCTAAGGGAAAAAAAAAAAAAAAGATTGCAGAGTGCGAAAACGAATGTGAAAATGGGGGTCAAAACGAATGAAAGGCCGTTGTGAAGTTGAGGAACAGGTCAGAGGAGAGACGGCAGCATCGACGCATTTTATCTCTCGACGACAACTTGCGCAGGGCCGGGAAATTAAGGAACCTGTTGAAGCTGCCAAGCCGAGCCAACGACCGGTTCACCACGGAAGTCAGCCGACACCGGCCAGCAGCATCCGATCGATCGTCGCCGTTGTTCCTGTAAAGCTTAATATGGTGTTGTCGCCGTCATCTGTTCTTCAATGCCCTGAACCGGTTAGTTCTTGCGAAGACAATGGCCTAAAACAGCATTTAAGGCCCGAAGAAAAACCAAGACAGGATACGTTCTTACCTGAGCCGCATTAACGGGTAGTGCCGACCGGCCATAAGGATAGTCCAGCTCTGGCCGTTGCTTTCGACAAGGTCACCCCATTTTGTTTCCAGAGTCTGAGCGCACGGGAGATGCCAAGTCTGAAACGTACGATATCTGCTCCACTTTCAAGCAGCCAGGCCGTTATTTGCGGTCTCCCAGCAGATGATACGGGATGCCAAGGACGTAGCTCAGGGAAGACGTTACCTTCGGATGCAGGAACGGACAACTGGCTGTTCCCACCCGTATAAATAGAGACTATATGTTTCACCTTCTCGTTTATCGACTTGGCAGGTTGCACTCTGCAACAGCGCCGCAAAAACGCTCACGAGGCCTGCTGGACGGTGCATATACACGGTAAGATCAATAAATTGGCACCGGCTAAATATGAAACAAATACACCCAATCGCTTTAAAATTTGTCCTGGTTTGCGTTGCTCATCAACATCGTGCTGTCTGGCTTGTACTTTTTCGACAGCAGACGGACGTTGTACTCCACGTCGAGAACGGCTCCCTTGGGGTCGTTAACCGCCGGCTTAAAGTCTAGCAGAAGGTCGTCCTTGACGGCCGAGACCGTGTCCGTCTCCAGGTACGGGTCATCGTTCGGGTAGAGCTGTGCCGTCACGCCAATGTAGTCATCGTGCGTGATCATCATGTGAATGTGTGCAGGCCGGTATGGGTGGCGGCCAGTCATGCGAAGCAGCTCTGCCGACGGCCCGGTCGTGTTGATGGCGTACTCGGTCGGCTTCAGGCAGTAGAACCAGAACTTGCCCTCCTCGTTGGCGCGGAACTTGCCCCGCAGGTTGTGCGGCGTCTGGTTCTCCGGGTCAAACACGTCGTACTTGCCGTTGGTGCTAGCCTGCCACATGTCGAACACCGCTCCCGGAACGCCCTTTCCGGTCTCCGCATCCTTGATCTGGCCGTGGAAGAAGGTGAGCTGGCCGTCCTTGGGCATGTTCTGGATCACGCTGGCGCCGAGCTCGCGGAAGGGCGTGGTGGGAGACCAGAAGGGGCCCAGGATGGCGGACGACGTGGGAACAACGCCTTCGGGCGTGACGATCTTGTGGTTGATCTCGTCCACAAGACTAGACGCGGGAGAAACCATGTCAGCAACGAACGAAGCCCAAGCAGACTTCCAGAGGACGACCCAAACTCACGATTCGATGCCCAGGATATCACACACTCTCCAGGCCTCGTTCCGGTTCTTCTCGTACGCCTGGCCAATGGAGTTGACGTAATTGACCCCAATGACCCATTCTTCCTGCGTAAGCTCGACCTCCCGGCAGAAGTCGTGCATATGCCGGATCAGAGACGTGAGGATCTGTCGGTTTCTCGGCGTCGTTTCGGGGCTCATCAGACCAATCACATGGTCCGTAAAGTTGGGGTCAAACTTGCTTGCACCAGTGGTGCCGTTGGTTCCGTTTGTGGCCATGGCGAAACGATTGTTGTGTAGAATAGATAGAGTGGCTATCGACAGATGGGTTGATTGATGTTTAGCTGTGTCTGCTTCCAAGAGCAATGGGAACGATCGGGTTATAAAATAGATCTGCCCGTGGAAGCTTCGGACCAATGGTCAAGCACAAATTACAACTAGCGGAAGCAGGAAGAACTTGGTCCTGCATGGTGTCGAGTTGATCTGATGACGCCGTGAATTGCGGGGGACGTAGATCTTGGCGCTATACTGTAGCTGTTGGAGAAACAAAAACCCCCCCAGCTGGGCTGTCTGCTTGTGAGGGGAAAAGTAAACCCGCACGACAATCCGGTTAGCCGCTTCGCCTAAGATGTCGCCGGAGGAGCCGTTAGCACGCTACCCCCATTTTAGTTGGGGCTAACAAGCCGGCAAGGGAAATCGGCACAAATGGGTAAAGGTACTTCCACGCAGGCGCAGGGATGTCACGGAACTGGACTAGAATGAATGCAACCCCGGCAGAGATGCCTACCCCGTAAAATGCCATATAGGTCGATCACAGGATTTATAGTACATAATACGATGAATTCAGGATCAGCTTCGTTGTAAGTGTGAGTTGCTGTCAGTTTCACGAGAGAGCTCGCCGCTGCGCCCATGGTCACGTGATATAGCAGCCGCTTGAGCAATCTGGTCGAAACATTTCCACTACGGAGTACGGAGTACGGAGTACGGAGTATATATACGTAGGGTCGACCTTTTCCCGTACGGACTGGCCTCGATCCGCTGTTATTCCCATAAACCCACTGTCTATTCCCCTATTTCGAACGAACAGATGCTCAACAAGCATCGAAAGTCCAGAGGTGCTATATATTAACAAAGCTAGCTTACTATGTTGGACCCTCTCCACACATTTCTGATATCTCGAGACCTAGTAATTCTCGCGTCATCAGAGTCGGGCAATCTTTTGTTCCTGACTCCTGCAGCAGCCACGCAACATTGCAGACTCGCTTCTAGGGCGCTAATAGAGTCGTCTGTCGATGTTTCTACCGTGATCTGTTCATCTTCGGGGTCGACCATGGCCACTTTATAATGTATCCGTCGAAGTTACTTTCGATCTGTATCTAATGGAGATATGATAGGCCCACGGTGATGAGCTAGTAATGGGCAATATTTTGTTCAATACCGGATTTCCGCTAAAGCTTTAGCATTGGTGTAGGAGAGATCGAGAAGTACTGTGGCTGCTGGGTTTATCAAGAGTCGACTTACAATGACAAGGATGGATCATTTAATAACAGCTTGCAGTCGAAAAGCGTGATCAAACGGCATTACCGCCTCTTGTTTTTAACCAAGGTGTTTTTAATCTGGAGTTTTCGTTGCGTAGAAATCGCAGGCAATGTTTGATCTATCTAAATGGCGTTTGCATCTGCATACGTTTGAGTATTCGAGTATACCAACAGCAAGGTGGTCAGTTCTCAATCGTACGAATACATTCTGGCGTCGGACTCTGTGTTGTTTGTAGCCGTTCGCAAGAAATACGCCGAAATGCCACATATAAGGGCTGAGATAATCAAGCGAGGAGCAGGTTCTAAAAGTGAAAGCCGGATAACACAATGCTGCTCATTGGGCGATAGGAATCTTCGTTGAGGTCGTCGCCTATATCAAGTATGGGATAGTGTCGTTGTTGTCCGTAAAACTTCCTATGAAATATGAAAAGGAGGTTACCTTTTGCGAATCCAATAATGCATTTTCGTACCTATTTTGGCAATTGCAGACCCATCGCCGTGCTGTTGACGCTCTTGATGCCTTTGAGGGGCCAAGGATCCAGTAAAGCCAGTTTAGCAAGTGCGCCGCAGAAATCATGTCCATTAGAGACGAAAGATGTATGCTCGAGCGCAATTGTAGACGTATGCATTTCAAGCTTAGGCGGTATGCAAAGTAATAACCGCACTTAGCACCGGAAAATACTTTCCAGGACAAGAGGCTGGAAATTATCACACATGGCGAATAAAACGGCAGAGCTCCACCTTGGCCCTCCCCATTGGACAGAAGCTATCTCTGGTTTGCACCTGCGATTGTGTTATTTCTAGCAGAATGACGACAAATACAAATGCTTGTTGCGGCCCTCAGACTGGCTGCCAATGCCGGGGAAGACATATACAAAACGGCGGGCGAAGCCCAAACGTCTCCTGCTCTCTCTGCTTCCCAATACTCGCCAAAATGGCCGCGCCATCACCCAAGAAGCAATGAATCCTTAATGCGTTTGCCATGAGCACCCCCAGTCATCTTGCAACGGGTATGACCCCCATCCCTCCTCTTTTTCACATGTCAGCTTACCGTATAGGTTTATGGAAACATCCACGCAGTCGTGCTGCTGAATACACCGATATTGAATACTGGACAGACCTGGTCAAGATCCTTGAGGCTGGAAAATTCCACGGCCTCTTCCTTGCCGATGTGCTTGGCCATTATGGCGTGTACAAAGGCCCTTTCAACGTGGACCCAGGCCTTTCAGCGGCTGCACAGTTTCCCATTTCTGATCCGATGTAGGCTGCAATAACCGGTGCTGCCACAAGTTTGATTGTATACATTTATTCCGCATTCTGACGGTATCCAGGCTACCTGTGTCTGCTATGGCCGCCGTCACCAAGCATCTCTCATTTTGGATCACTGCATCTACCACGTACGAGAATCCGTTCTTGCTGGCCCGCCGCTTTGCCACTCTGGACCATCTTACTAAAGGACGTGTTGCCTGGAACGCGGTGACCAGCCATTTGGCTCCCGCTGCCAAGAATCTCAGCCTAGACAAGGAAATTGCCCACGACGAGCGCTATCAGATCGCAGAGGAGTTTCTGACCTTGACTTACAAACTATGGGAGGGCACATGGCGTGATAATGCTGTCGTGAAGGATACCAAGACAAAAAAATATGCCGTTCCAGGCCGCGTCCAGGCTATCAACCACGAAGGGTGAGAAAGGCCGGTACTGCTGGATTCGCTCGCTTGAGTATATACAGTGCTGATTGTGAGCAGAAAATACTTCAAGTCGGCTGGCCCTCTAACTACTGAGCCCTCCATCCAGCGCACGCCGTTTATCTTCCAAGCCGGTACCAGCAGCGCGGGAAAGGCGTTCGCCACCAAACATGCCGAGTGCATGTTTCTTCCTGGAATGACGCCAGAGGCTGTCAAGAAGGTGGCCGACGACGTTCGCCTGCGCGCTGCTGAACAGGGCCGTGATCCGTCTACCCTCCAACTGATAGCCGGCATTATCGTCATCGTCGACGAGACAGACGAGAAGGCTCAGGCCAAATATAAGGAGTACTTGTCGTATGCCGACTACGAAGGGTCGCTGGCTCTCTTTGGCGGCTGGACCGGCGTCGATTTCTCCAATTGGGACGATGATGAGGACTTTACCTTTACGGGGCCAGGATCTATCCAGAGCATGATCTCGTCCTGGACAGCAACCATCCTGGGCACAGACGGCGTGCGTTGGACCAAGCGCCGAATTGCTCAAGAGCTAGCCATCAGTGGTGCCCACAGCCGCATTATCGGCTCGCCAAAGACAGTTGCCGACGCCTTGGAACGGTGGATTGACGAGTCCACCATTGACGGCTTCAACCTATCATATGCAGTCAGCCCCGGCGACTTGAGGACATCATCCACTGGCTGTTGCCCGAGCTGCGTGCCCGAGGTGTCTTCTGGGACGATTATATGGCGACCACAACCCGAGAGAACCACTTCCAAGACGGCCTGGGGCCGAGACTGCGAGACGACCACCCGGGAGCACAGTACAAGTGGAAGGCATGACTATGCCTCATCTGCTTGTGTGGGGTCCTGAGGCCTCTCAGCTCACTGGACTGTGACAACAAAAACTTTCCTATCTACTCTAAATCCCTGTTTCAATCCGCCCACAAGAACTCATCTTGTTCCACGAGTTCGCACTCTCTACTCATTGTCAACTCTCAACGATGGTCAGCTGGGACCTGGCCAACAAGCCGACAAAACACCGTGAAAACTTGATCGAGGTAAGACTGGAGACTGACACAAAATAATTTACTTGCTCCATAGGCCTCCTACGCACTGATAAATTGCCGCAAGTCCCAGCGTGATCTAAGCACGGGCCATCCAGACTTACGAATTGCCTAAAGTGTAAGAAATGCCTGCTCTAGTATGTAGCAAATCTGTTTTTTTACAAGATGAATTATGATATAAAACCATTGAAAGCCTGTATATGACATAGGGCGGGAACAACGCGTTTATTTTATATGAGGGCGTGATAACAAATCGTTTGTGGACGTGTCCTGCGTAGTCCGCCAGGACGTTAGGCCTTTGGCCACAATTCGTTCACGTCGCCATACTGGTTCGGACTGCCCAGACCTCAACATCCAATGGCAAGATGGCCGAGCGGTTAAGGCGCTAGCTTCAGGATTCCTGGAACTTGCTAGTGTGGAAACACGCGTGGGTTCGAGTCCCACTCTTGTCAATAACTTTTTCTTCCTTACTTTTTGCCCCTAACCTTAGTAATGGGGGATATTTTTTCTAGCGAAGAAGCACATTAGAACATGTGCGAGGGATTTTACACATTTACAGTGGTTAATTGTATCTAGTCTAGCATTCTATCACGTCTAGTTTCAACACATGTCCCTACTGCAACTCGAAGCCGCGCTCGTGCAGCACCGGTCGTAGCTCGTGCCGGCCTTCCATGCCCTCCTCGGTGGCCGTGCGCAGGGTCGACTGGGCCGTCCAGACGGGCTTGTGGACGCGGTTTTGGCGGCCGTTGAAGGCGGCTATCGCGTCGTTGTACGTTGCCAGGTGGCTTGCCTGGTTCCCGTCGTCCCAACGCTCGTGATGGAGCACCTCGGCGGCCGGCAGCCGCGGCTTGACCTCGATGGTGCTGTCAGGCCGGGGGACGCCGAGAGCGAGGCCAAAGATGCCGACGGCACGGTCGGGCAGGCCGAGAAGAGCGGCCACCTCACGCGGTCGGTTGCGAGCAGCGCCGACGTAGCAGCCACCGAGACCGAGCGCCTCGGCAGCGACGAGCGCATTTTGGGCTGCAAAGGCGGCATCCAGGGACGCCATCAGGAACATCTCCGTGTAGGCGAGCGAGGCTCCGGGTGGCTGCTGCTCCGAGGCTGCGACAGCACCCAGGCGGTGCAGATCGGCCACGAAGACGAGGAAGAGCGGCGCCTGCCGGATAAAGTACTGGTCTGCGCTCAGGGTGGCCAGCTGGGCCTTGCGCTCGGGGTCGGCCACCGCGACAACGCTCCAGGTCTGCAAGTTGCACGACGACGGTGCGCTTTGGGCTGCGGCGATGATCACGTCCAGCGCGCCTGCCGGCAACGGCGTGTCCGCCTGGTAGTACCGCACCGACTTGTGGCCCAGCAGCGTCTTTAAGGCGGGGCTGTCCGGCAGGCCATCGAGCGTGGTGGCACTCGCGGTCGTTGTGGTGGAGCCGTAGCGCGTGGCGATCAGAGCCGCGAGGTCGGAGACGTCAGACATGGTGGCAGACCGCTGAAAGCTGCTATGTGCGGAGTAGGTGCACCTGTTGGAAGAGGAAGACGTCTCTTTGGAAAATCCGGCGACAATGGCCGTAAATCGATGCAATTAGCCTAGTTGGACTCGATTCGGAATAGCTGCACAGATAGCGTAGTCCATTATCCGAGCTGGAGAAGGTAGTTGGCAAGACGAAATGAAATCACACAATATCATGTCATGATCTTTTTCTCTTTGCATTTCTGGCGGCAATTCGCCTAATTTGTTGTTGGCTCAACATCGTACTCTACATCCGTCCGGATGACATACTTGGCACCCTTCCTCACTCCTGTTCCCTCGTGCAGCAGCGCTCCATGTGTCTGGCCATGCGGAAAAATGGCCACACCACCCATCACAGGCCGGACCGGGTATGCATTGAGCGTTCCTTCCAGCGCTGCCGGCAAGAAGAATGTTGTCTCGCCACCCTCAAACTCATCGTTCAGGTACACCAAGAACGTAAAGAGGGAGCTCTGCTTCTTTCCCTCGGGCGACGCATCGTACACGTAAGTCTGGTCAGCAAGGATCCCCGAAGGCGGCCAGGCCCCGTCAATATGGCTGCGGTACTCTGCGCCAGGCACGTAGCGATATACGCGGAAGCGGCGGTTGATCCCACGGGCCACGCGGCCGTCCATGGCAGCGGGCACATATGGCGATATCCGTGCCCAGAGCGTATCGTGAAACGCGTTGTCAACGACCCAGTAGAAGTTGTGCGCCAAGATGCTGACGTCACCATCCTCTCGAATCGGCGAGTCGGGCAGGAAGCCGACGCTCTCGCCGGCGGCAATGATGGCCTTGCATTCGTCGGGCGAGAGCACGTCAGTGGCCACGCCCAGGCCAGGCACGACGGGATGGGCCTGGTACGTGATGGTCGGCGATTTCGGCGACAAGGACATGGCATTCGGGGCAGACGTGTAGACGATGGCTGGATGGTGGTTTGGCGGCTTACGCTGAAGGCCGTCGGTGGTCTCGATGATGGGCAGGGCTGTGGCCGGGTTGCTCGGTGCCAGCTTGAGAATAGACTTGTCCAAAACAGAGTCGTAGACCTGGTCGGCCGTCGTCGACTGCCGGAGATCCCACATCTTCTGCACGTTGATGGACGGCGAGTTGGCCGACTGTCGCACAGCGTCCAAGTTTGCGTCGACGGGACCAATGGTGCGAAGGACGGCATCGACAACGAGCAGGCGCTCCTTCTCCTCACCGGCGCGCTCTACCGCGGCTCGACTGCTGGCCGGCAGCGTCGACAGACCACTGACAATGTCCAGATCTCGCACCCACCGACACAAGGCCCCTAGCTTGGGCTCCTCGCCGCGGATTCGCATCTCGGCCAGCAGCACACGCGCTTCGAGGAATTTTCCGTCTGCAAGAGCACCAGTAATCCTGGCCGTCAGGTTCATGCCTGCACACATTTGTCAGAAATCCAGTCATCTTTGGAATCAGTTTCGATAAAGAACACGCACCGGCAGCATTGACGCCCGTCGTGCAGGCCTGCCGGAACTCGTGTGCAGCCACCCGCAGATGCCGGCATGGCCTCGACTTAATCAGACCCGGATAGGACGACAGCGTTTTCAGCGTGTCGACTGTGATCTCAAGCTCTTCGGTGGACACGACAGTTTGTAAGCTCCGCGGCTCAAACGGCTCGTCGCTGGGCGGTGAGATGGGCCGCGCCGTCTTGGAAGGCCGCGCATCAGGCCGGCCCTGTACCTGTGCCTTTCTCTTCCGTGCCGAAGTCTTGAGCCCCATGTTGCAAGTCGTCGCCGGTGCTCGCTACCATGGCCTGATATGTGGCGATGGTGGAGCATGATTTGCAAATTCAAAGTTGTCGGCAGACGCCGCGTTAGCGTGGCGAGTGTGGGGCGGCTCGTTCACGGCTCTTTATTAATCCGGCTGCGGACAAGTCACGGGGATGCAATGACAAAAAGAGAAAAAAGAATTTATTTCTCCCCCGGGTGGGTTTGAACCACCAACCTTTAGATGGCTACTGATGTTAACAGTCTAACGCGCTATCCAATTGCGCCACGGGGGATTGAATCGTGGTTCTTGGCTGCAATCAAACCTCGCGAAGGCTGAAGCCGTGAAGAGCGCCAAAGCTTTGACAAGCGCGGATGCCACGAGTGCCGAGAGCAAGCAGCGGTCGGCCGCGCTAGACGAGCTAGACTACACGGCTGCCGGAAAGCCGTACTTACGGCTCAACCAGGGCAACGGGGTTATTCAGCAGGCGCCCGGACTCGGAGCCACTGGCGGGTCATACAACCGGAGCAGCGTACGGCTGGGCGACATCGACGGCGATGGTCGCCTCGACTACTGTCTGTTAGGACCAATGGAGGGCACTTTGACGTGTCAACACAACGGCGGCACGGCCGATCCGAGCACGTTTGTCGACCAGCTGGCCCGAGACCCGGTCGGCGTGCAGCTTGCCGACCTTAACGGCGACAGTCGCGCCGACTGGCTTTGGCTCTACAGCAACGGCCGCATCGACGATCCTGGCCTATGGCCGGCGTGGTGGGACATGGGCGTAACCCACGACGGCACGGAGGAACTATCACGTGACATGGTTCGGCTGGCCCGCGTCTTCGGCTCTGGCCGGCTGGACTACGTCTATTATTTTGCCACCAACACGACTACGTCTTTGTCGACAGGGCCGGCCAGCCGATCATCTTCCGGAACCTCTTCTGGGAGCCGGCGACGGCTACGCTGACTACCTCTGCATTTCGCCCGACGACCGCACCACCACCTGGCTACAGGACCCTAGTAGCAGCAGCCCAAACAGGTTTGTGCCCATCGGTCAGATCGTGTCGTCCCAGACCTCGGACACGGAGCCAACAGTGCGTCGAAAGAATACCTTTACGGAGTTTCATTTGACGACGCATATATACGGGAGCCAGAGACACCACTTCGCAGCGAGTGAGAGAAATTGAAACGCAAATTACGAGGGTATTAAGTATGTTGGTGCCGACCAGATAGAGAAGCGGTAAAGGTGTCGCTGTGATTCTCCAAATACAAAGAAAACGACCTTTGATGGAAATATCGCTGCAGGATATTGTGCTTTAAATGTCTCAATAATAAGCCAATCAAATCCCCGACTTCAAGCACGTTATTTTCATAGTCACTCGTCCCCAACAACTTTCCAGCATCGACGCAGTAATCGCTGTTCTTTGATTGGTCGAGAATCTTTTCGAACCAGCTACAAGTCGCGATGGGCACGTGCTCTGGTGTCTCTTCTGGAGATAAGGTTTTGCGCTAACATCCAAGCTTAACCACCAACCAGTCAGAACGTTGAACCGTATCTCGTGGCGAGCAGGTGCTGAAAGCAAGCACGGACTAAGGAAATGAGGACCTGACTGAAAAGCTTGTAGTGCGATCCATCCAGTCGGACGTGGATGGCTGCAGATTTTGTATAAATGGCACGAACGTCGCTCTATTCTTGAATCTATACTTCAGAATTGTCTCGCGAGCAACAGCTTCCAATTCCCATAGTCACCATGAAGACTAGAACAAGCTTGGTCGCCTCTGCTGCGGCCTTTGGCTGCATAGTGCTTCCCACCCATGCGGCCACGAATGCCACCATGAACTCGCAGATCCGTCTTGCGCTCTTTGGAGACAGCGGAATGCGGGTGAGCTGGAACACCTTCCAGCACGTCGACACGCCCACCGTTCACTGGGGCCGCTCGGCAGACAATTTGAACGAAACTGCTTCATCCAATGTGTCGGTTACGTATCCTACCTCTTTGACTTACAACAACCATGTCTTGATCCGCGGTCTGAAGCCTGACACCACCTACTTCTACCTCCCGGCGCCGCTGCTGAATGACAATGACGCGACGCCGTTCAATTTCACTACACTCCGGCCGGCTGGTGATACCACCCCCTTCTCCGTTGCTGTTGTTGTGGACCTGGGCACGATGGGCAGCCAGGGTCTGACTACGCATGCTGGCAAAAAAGTTGCATCCACCAACATCCTCAAAGTCAACGAGACCAACACGGTTCAGTCTTTGAAGGAACACATTGACGAATTCGACTTTCTCTGGCACCCTGGTGACATTGCCTATGCGGACTACTGGCTCAAGGAGTCGATTCAAGGCTTCTTGCCCAACGTGACCGTTGCCGATGGTGTCAAGACGTACGAGTCCATCTTGAACGACTTTTACGACGAGATGATGTCCGTGACGGCCACAAAGCCCTACATGGTCGGGCCGGGAAATCACGAAGCCAACTGCGATAACGGCGGAACCACAGACTTGTCCAAGAACATAACCTACACAAACAGCATCTGCATGCCAGGCCAGACCAACTTTACCGGATACAAGAATCATTTCCGCATGCCCAGTGCTCTGTCAGGGGGCACCGGCAACTTCTGGTACAGCTTTGACGACGGCATGACCCATTTTATCCAGCTCGACACCGAGACAGACCTGGGTCACGGCTTCATCGCACCTGACGAGGTTGGCGGTGTGGAGGGTATGGGCGCGTCGTCTGTCAATGCCACACTCGATGCACAGTCTACCTGGCTCGAGGCCGATCTGGCTGCCGTCAACCGCTCCAGGACGCCTTGGGTGGTCGTTGCCGGCCATCGTCCGTGGTACCTCAGCCACGCAAATACCAGTGGCACTATTTGCTGGTCCTGCAAAGACGTTTTTGAGCCGCTGCTGCTCAAATACAGCGTCGATCTGGTCCTGTCTGGACACGCACACGTTTACGAGCGTCAGGCTCCTCTGGCTAACGGGAAGGTCGATCCGAACGAGCTCAACAACCCCAGCTCCCCCTGGTACATTACCAACGGTGCTGCCGGACACTACGATGGCCTTGACGCCTTGCAGACCCCGCGTCAGTCGTACAGTCGCTTTGGTCTTGACACCACCAATGCAACCTACGGCTGGAGCCGGCTGACTTTCCACAACTGTTCCTATTTGACACACGATTTTATTTCTAGCAGCAATGGGTCTGTCCTCGACTCGGCCACGCTGTTTAAAGACCGCAACTGTCCTTCTGCTGCCGTGAACAGCACCGGTAGCAGTACCGCAGAGATTAATGCCTCGGCTAGAAGTCCCCTCACAGGATCACGGGCAGCCATGGTGGCATCTCTCATTGCTCTCTTTGGGCTCTTGTAGTAGGCACATTTAGTTGTAAGTCTTGATAGCAATGATTGCCAAGACTAGCAAAAATAGAGACTTACGTGTGTATTATAATAGCTGTGCTTGGTATAGAGTGTACCATTATCTCATACAGATCCATGCGTCTCTGAATAGTGCCCCCATAAGTGTACAAATATCGGATCGAATGAAAGGCTTGAAAGTCTACAAATCCTGTGCATATTACGCACTCTGCAAGTAATCCGTATAGTATCAATACTCCGTACAGATAACCTCTGCGGCAATGTACGTGCCTTCCGGAAGTAACTTATGTCTTCTGCGAATATCGCTCCACAACCAGAGCCTTTTTGGATGTGCGAACAGCGCACTTTGCACAACTAAGGCCCTTCATCGGTGTTTGACAGATACAGACACCATATTTAGTGTGTATCGGTACTTGTATGCATACACACACAAAGGGTTTGCAATGGCCGCAGCTGATGTGTCTTGGATGCGTTCCTAGCCACGGTACTGTTGCGGCTTTGATTTTTTAACATGCTAACTGAAAACACCACCTGTATCGGGTTTAGCTACAAAGCTATCTTTCTGCGTCTATTTTCTGCTTAAGACGACAGACTGCTGGTTCATTTGCCCGTCTTGAACAGAGGAGGTGTCTTGTTCAACCTCGTGGGTTACGCGGATTATGCATCGCGTCGAGTCGCTATCCTCATTGCTGTCCTTGTCCGCAGCCTGGTTTTCCTGGTAGTCATTCAATCTCTGAGCACCGGCCATGTGGGTGCGCCGGCTGTTCACGCCGCCGATGGTCACCAAGTTAATATCCCGGGATTTGGCAGCTGTTTCTTGGCTCGAACCATACGATGGGAGAATGTTTCGGAGAAGAATTCGCAACATAGGCGCAGAGCCGGCGATGATACCCAAGTCGCACTCAAGCACCGTCAAGGTGACAATTTTGCCAATCTCATCTGCAACGCATAACTGTTAACTTGTCTTTTCCTGTACTCAATTTAGTAGGCAAGTGGATTTGAAACTCACAATATCTGCCATGCTTCGCAGAATAGGCCCAGGTGTAGGTTATGCGGATAATGGTAGCCACCGACGCAAAGACACCTAGCGACAGGATGCCAATGGTTATAAATTTAATCCTCTTGGGCATCTGAAGGTGTCGAAGCAAGAATAGCGGTAGCAGAGCCGTGCTTATATCGGTGAAGACGTTGGAAACTGAAACAAAATACGACACGTTCAAGATGACCGATTGGCCGGAGGTACAGTCTCCCGGCCGACCCCAGGCTGCAGACACAGGCTTGCACTGGAAGATCGCAACGGGCCATGATATCTGCCAGACAATCCAGCTGAAGATGAACAATACCCACAAGATTTTCGTGTAGACGATGTTCAGATTCTTGGCCAGCCGCATAAGCGTCCAGATGATGCTCGATTTGATGATGGCTCCATCCAAGACGTATATAAACTGCCATATTACCGTCCATAGCCCGGTTCTGTGCGCCATGCCGATCGTGATAATGTCGTCGGGTGATCCGACTCCGGTAAATGCGAGTACAATGACAGCCGCGTTATGCGCAAGATTGAGCAGCTATAGATGATTAGATAGCTGCTCGCAGAAGCAGTCTGACAGTTAGAAAATGTGCAAGGCTCACCCATCCAGCGAGCATCAGCCAATCTTCAAAAGAAAACGCGTTTCGACTAATGCGCGCGTAAAATCGCAAGCTGACCACAATGCTGGAAACGATGGTCATGACGATGGTCGTTATCATCATAGCGAGCGCCAGACCCTCGGGGTAGATGGGCTCGAATTTGGTAGTGGTCAGATCCTTAGCCATCGTTGTCTCTTTGTCTCTTTGAATTAGTAAAGGCTGAAGGAAAGTCTCGCAACCGGGAAACGATACGAGATTTAGAGGGCACTAGCACTTATAAGTCCCGGCAGTTGTTGAACAGCCTTGGCCTAAGCAAGGGTTGTCAATTAATCCTACGAGCAAGAGCCACGCCATACTTTGAACATAATTTGAAACTGTATTCGTTCTCTCACTTCAAGGATGGCCTCCTTGCCACAGAGCATCAATGCCAGATATTTTTCTCAAGTAGTAATACCACCGTAGATTGAGAAAAGTCTGTTGCGGCGTCGTATGCCGGAAGAGAGACCAGGTTAATACGACAGAATGGTTGTATGGTACTTGTGGAGACGTGTTAACGGGCGGTGTCATCAATAGGGTGAAGGCACTGGGCGCTCTATGGAGTCTTTGTGGAGACGGACTCAACGGGCCGCCGGCCGGTATGACTGATGGGGACATTTCAAAGCCGAAAAACAACAGTTTATCTCCTTTAGGCCACCCCTACTCCGTACAACGCTTTGAAACCCTTAAATACCACCCTCTTGGCAATTTCGCTTTCCGTGTCGTAGCCCATATACAGCGTACTCCGTATGTAACTCGCTTCGCGTAATTCTACTCATAGTGGCGTTGGTTTCATAACCTCGCCGTACACAAAATAAATACAACTACTCCGTATGTAGGTAGGTGTTCAAAGCTTTGTATGTAGACTGCAAGCGACAAAACAAATGTTTCTTACTTGCAATCAGCATAAGCTGTGCGCAATTCGTACTCCGTACTGTGTTGGTCGTCTTGGAAAGTACCGTAACAACAATAGTGGGTAGGCCTACTTCTTTCTCCGTACTGTTGCATGAGGTACTCCGTATTTCCATCTCCTTGACATCCTCTGGCGCGTGCGCCTGGCAAACCGCCTCTGACTTGTTAGAAGCGGGCACATCACCCGAAACTGCGGTTGCAGTCTAGTCCGTTGCCCTGTTTTTCTTTTTTTTTTTTTGGGGGGGGGGGGAAGGGCGGGGGCCGGTACGTACGACGTACATCCTATCCACGGAAGTACGGAGTAGGAAGTGATTAGCTTGCTATAGGTCCTGGTCAACATCTATCAGGGGGAATTCCCTTTGTCCATCGTATGTTATGTTTATTGGCCTACGGGATACACTGTGACCTACGACGTACATCCCGCTCTTGTCTTAGTGGTTTTGTTATCTTTCGGCTTGTATGTAGTCTCTTCTCACCGCCCTCCACCCCGAGTCCACTATAATTAGATTCTGCGTGGCAGAACAAGGCCCTGTAGCTACTATAACCAGAATAACAATAATACGGAGTAAGGCGGTGAGCTGGCTTTTTGATAGGACCTCCATACCGCATGTTACATAGGCTTCGGTCAAACCCCCAGAAGTCCCCAGAATTCAGCACTATACATGCGTCGTACGTATACACGTATACCTTATACACAAGCTGAATACAAGATAGACCGTACTGATCTGAAGTCAAGGATCTGCACAACCTGTCATCCAATGTGGACCCAGGTACTGAGCGATAATGCAACTTCATTTACTCCGTATGTACGGAGTACTCCGTACAATCAAGCATATCTCTGGCAGATGAAACTCGGTATACCAATACGAGGTGGGAAACCGTTACACTAGACTCCGTACTTCGCACAAGTTCAACAACAGTGTACTAGTACTTGTTAGTCTGTACTGGTCGCCGCAGCGGAGCCAGCCGTGTTATATAAAGGCGAAGGGTAAACAACAGTTCACCAGATAATTCCAATCGTCCAGCACTCAGTTACCTTATTCACTTACTTTGTTTCACATTTCCTCATCAAGAAGACTATCACGAAAAGCACGAAAACGCACAGCAAGAAGTATGTCTGAAATCACGATCGAGCAGCTTCCGGCCATTCCAGCCGATGTGACGGTTGAGTGGCTGGGGAGCAAGCTTGGTCACAAGATCAAATCCATTGAAAATACGAGAAACGTTTGGGGAACGGCCAGCAAACTGTTCTACACAATCACTTATGAGGACGAAAGCACCGAGGACAGACCGGAGCATATTTGCATCAAGGGCGTTTTCGATCCCAAGTTGATCGAAGCGCAGCCATGGACTGTCAGCCTGGCACAGCGTGAGGCCGACTTCTTTTCAAAGGTGGCGCCTACGGTGACGAAAATGCTTTTCCCCAAGAGCTGGTGGAGCGGCACGAGCGACAAGCAAGGTATCGCCATCATGACCGACCTGAGCAAAGAGGGCAGTACCTTTCCCGCCGAGGTCGCCACCTACTCCGTCGACCAGGTCAAGAACGGCGTTGAGCAGCTGGCCAGTCTTCATGCAGCATACTGGGGTCAGAGCCAGGAAGACCATCCATGTAAAGACCATTCCCCCCGCTTTTGCTGTCCCATTTTGTTCTCGTTAGACCGGAGATGAAGGCTAACATACGACTACAGGGATCTGGAACAACTACGACCCGGCCATGAAATTCATGTGCGTACCATGGAATGAAGTCGTTCGCCAGCCTGGCCGTCCCAAGCTTCCCGACCACCTGATGGATGGCGAGCGGTGCAACGAAGCCGTAGACCGATACTACGCTGAGCGAAACCCTCGGTTCCGCACCCTGCTGCACGGAGATACCCATCTTGGCAACATCTACTTCACTACTGATGGGCGTACTGGCTTCTTGGACTGGTCTGCCTTCCACTTTGGGTCGTGCTTCCACGACGTCGTTTACCACATGACCTCTGTACTGAGCATCGAAGATCGTCGTGCTCACGAAATGGAGATTCTGGACCATTATCTCGCCGCACTGCACCGACTTGGCGGACCCAAGTTTGACAGGCACAACGACCCGGAGGTGATGATCGAGTACCGGCGCTCCTTCATGACCAACGTCATCTGGATCATCTGCCCCGATGGGCTGCAGAGCAAGGAGCGCGTGGATCTCCTGTGCGAGCGTTCAGCTGCTGCTTACAGTGACCACAAGGTCATCGATGTCATTCTGGGCCAGCCGAAGCCGAAGCCGGCTGCTTGAGAAAATCGAGAATAGAGAGTCATCCCTGCACCTGGCATGTAACATATTACGTACTCCTGCATTACCATAGCCACGAATAAAGCATCAGGCCACTTGACCATACATAGTCTGACATCATCGACCTCATGGTGGCTGAATTTTGCCCTACGACGTAAACATTTAAGTGTCGGTGAATATATTGGCCAACCTTCCTACCGTGAAAGGTACCGAGAGCCTCAAAACCTCTAGGCAATGCTTGCAGTCTTGATAACCGCCGTACTTTCTTTACTTTGAACTCGGCTTGCGCTTTGTGTACGGAGTACAGAGTACTACTGGGGCAATTTTAATAACAAGGGATCCTTTTTAGCAACGTCGACTCTACGTCGTAGATTTGTTACGCAACATGTATTACATACATCGCAAGGGTGTATGTCACCGATAGCGCGGTGAGTGCAGGGCCACGAGTACTTCTGGGTGCATTGCACCCGCAAAAAGCGCGACAGATCGAATACGTACATTAATTTTTGCTCGCCCCTGTAAACGAGTTACGTACAGTACGGAGTAGTTCTTATTAAATTACAATTTAAAGCCTGCATGTAATCCTGCACATGTTGTATCTTGTGTTCTCCTCAACCTTTTACAATGCAGCATGACTTTACAAAGGTCTAAGAATGCCGAGTACCAGGACCACGAATAAGCGGGCTCTGCAGCAACGACACCACAAATCAATCCTCCGTGCTCCGGAAAAATTATCGATTTCATCTGCGTCTACGGAGTAATCCGTAGTTTTGGATGGGCTTACGCTAAAAACGCCGCAGTCGAGCTAATCAACGCGTACGCAGTGGTACCCGTACACCATCGAGTCAAAGCCGACACCGCTTTGTATCTCCACGCCTTTGCTAGCTTCCGTTGTCAATGCAACACCTCGTTTGACTGTGGCCCCGGTAGGCCTTAGCCATGTGCGTTGTCGAAAAAGGCTCCAGAAACCCGTAAACAAAGCTTTTAAATGTGAGCAGTCTGTTTTATCCCCTTTTTGGAGGACCCATTTCTAGGGGAGGCGTCATAAGATAGAGAGGGTCGCAGAGGTCTTCTTCCATCCGTTCCACTAATAGCATGCACTCTGTAGTAACCAGAGCTTGTCTTACTAGGGCCTGAACAAAATAAAGTACGGAGTTGTGCATGGAGATCTGAAGATGAGCAACAAGATACTGGCAAGCAATGGCCGCATTACGTGTATTCGTATCGATCTATCGGCCATGGCCATGCTCAAGTATGTATAAGACTGACCTTGGAATTTGTGTTCTGTACGGAGACGCGAATATGCATTTTGTCTTCCAGCAATAGATCTACTACGCCCTACTCCAACCTCTATAATTGCAAGCAACGACGTTGCTCTTGTTAGTAATATAACTAGCCACGTGGCCTTTCCACAATTTTATTTGACTCTGTACAAAATACAGATACCGACCAAAACAAATTACTCTTGACTCCCTAGAGCGGTCATATTATTTCCTCCCAACAACTTGTTACCGCTTGCTCATTTCTGAGGGTCTTTCTGAGTGTCATTGGGATTGTCACGGCCCATACGTCACCCCATAACTCATTAAGATTTATGTCGTTATATTACTAGCCATTGTAGTTTGATAACCAAACTGTTATTGGCATCATTATGATATAACGTATCTGACAAGATGATGTTTTTGAAATGCCCTTGAACTGTCTCCACTTACCCTCTCTGACCTACGGGAGCTTTGACGTATTTTTGCCACTCGTCCTCGTACTACGACGTAATATCATCCTGTATTGGGAATGTCATGTTGTAGTTGGAAGATTGTCCGATCATCTTTGCAACGTCTATAAACAGGGTCCCAAGGGTAGTGGATCGGAAATGCTGAGGCGGCCAGAGCGTTTCTCATCCAGCCAATTGCTCAGGCTTATTGTAACATATGTCGTAAAACTCTGTCCAAGGGGACCAATCGGTTTCATATGGAAAAGGAGGGCTGGCTAACAACGATCATGCGGCTATCCTATCATACTTAGTACCGTCCTTTTGAGTCTCTGGACTGCTGGTACGCGATGTTGTAGTCCGCTTTGGTAAGTACTATATGCTGACCAGTGTGGGGAATAATAGGGGATAGTTTGGCAAACGATATACCGTACTCCGTACTCCGTACAGCTTGAGCTTCGTTTTGATATTGGGACTAACACCAAGTGACACCGCCGGATTCCACGACACGTAGATCTTTCTCACACCACTTTTTTCGAGTAGATCAATGGATCCTGTAATAACCCAGGAAGGTTGTCTGTCTCAATCATGGTCCAATAGGATAGAATGCCGGTCTGATATTGTCTTCATATGCTGATTTACCCCGTACAACAGTCCCAACTCGGCTTCATCTCGGTACGAATGTCTCTCTCGTACTCGCGGACTACATGGTACTAACACGTACCGTCTTAGCAATAGAGTGAAAAGAGGCAACATAAGCTTAAGGAGTAGAGTCCGTTACTAGGATACTACATTAATCTCCTTACTCCTTGCTTGGTATTTGATTGTCATACTACTTGCAACATGTGCAAAAGTAGGGACCCCATACCTTCCATCACAGTAGGCAGTATTATATATGACTAAGTCTGATTTTGACACTTAGCACAATATGGTGCTGCCCACCTACAAGGCTATAGTCACAAACAATAACAATCACAAACAGCGCTTGGAAATGCTGAGTCTGCTCTAGGCTGCCTGTCATCTGCGGTTGGCTTGATCATGCTCACCGTCCGGTAGGTGTTCTCTATGACCAGCAACTCATCTGCGTTGATGTCAGTAGACATAGAGGACCAGTCAAGAACTATGGTGCACCCAAACATTTCAATCACAGAAAGTCTAAAAGAACCAAATTCCCCGTCTTCCTATCAAAGATAAATCATCATTCAGTTCGTTGTATCTAGTCTAACCAAATCTAGTTCACAAGCGCCCAAATCTGCTCAACGGCTTGTGGCCCATGCTTGCATGGACACCGCTCAGTCTACCAACCTCATGTCCAACGTGTCTCTGGTCATTTTCAGTAATATCAGAACCATACGTTCTTCACCCACGTTTAAGCCATCTAGGTGCAGATGCGAATGCAGAGGCTACGTTTTTTTGCTCTACCGACGGCCCTTACCCCATCGCATAGCACCTGGCACATCAGGGTCGCTCTCGACGTACTTGCACGTCGTGAAGGTCGACCACAGCGAGCCGACAAAAGAGCCTTCCTGCCGGCAGTAGTGGTCTCCGACGACAGGCTTGATGGCCTCAGTGGCCTCCTCGGCATAGTAGAAGGGAATGCGACTAGAAGTCGGCATTAGCACGCGAAGGCGACAAGTATGATGCAGATGATAGGAGCAGAAGACATACGGGAACAGATGGTGGACAACGTGGGTGCCAATGATGCCGTGGAAGATGCGGCGGTCAATGAAGCCAAAGTCACGGTCCACAGTGGCCAAGGCGCCCTTGACAAAGGTCCAGCTGTCAGGGTCGTAGTGATGAACGTCGGGGTGGGTGTGGTGGAGGTACGTGATGGCAACTATAGATTAATTTGAAGAGGTTAGCTTGGCCAGCTCCACACCACCGTCGATCTCGGGAGAACAAACCTAGCCAGTGGTGGACCCAGAGATACGGCACCCAGTACAGCAGGAAGATGGTCTTCCAGCCGTAGACGGCGGAGGCAAGGTGCAGGACGTAGCCGACAATGGAAAGGCCGAGGACGGAGAGAGCGATAAAGGGCCGCTCGCTGGGACGGAAGACGGCACTGGTGGGCTCAAAGTGGCTGACGCGGAACCAGCTGGTCTCCTTGCGCTGCAGGCTCTCCTTGCCGGAGCTAGCGTTGAAGAAGAGGTAAGCCTGCCAGCCGCCGAGCTGGTGCAGGACCAGGACGAAGAGCTGGTAGGCCGGCAGGTCCTCGAGCATGTCGGGATCGAGCCAGAAGGAGGAGGCGCGGGTAGCGTAGTGCTCGTCCTTGGTGCGCGGCACAAAGGCCATGTCCTTGGTCATGTGGCCGGTGAAGCGGTGGTGGCGGTGATGCGAGAACTTCCAGCTGAAGTAGGGCACGAAGAGGAAGGAGTGGGCGGCCCAGCCGACAGTGTCGTTGAGGCGCTGGTTCAGGCTAAAGGCGCCGTGGCCACACTCGTGCGCAAGGATCCAGAGGCCGGTGCAGAAGAGGCCCTGGACGTAGCCGTAGACAATCCAGGCGGCCGCCCGAGCCCAGACGTTGGGCACCGAGGGGATGTAGGTCAGGGCCAGATAGCCGAGCGGCAGGATCAGAGACAGGTCCCGGACCACATAGGCGAGCGAGCGCCAGACCGGCGGCTGGAAGCAGTGCGCCGGGATGGCGTTGCGGATGGTGTTGATGTCGGGAAAGACCTGCTCGGCCACCAGGCCGGCAGCATCATCATCTTGGGCCTCGCCCTTGGAGCGCTGCAGGAGTCAAGGGGCTTGTCAGTTCGTGCACTGCCCGTCTTTCTGGCGGCTGCAAGGGGATTTTCTTACCTGTTTGAGCTCCATCACGGTCTCTGCCTGTGTCGATGTGGTCGTCATGCTGGTGGTTTTCGAGCAGAGCTTGCGGTTTGCAAGGAACAGGAACATCCCAACCGGCTTCGCTTTTGGTTTTATTTCTGTGTCCTCCCAGCAGAGCAGGGGTCGGATTGGGATAGAACCCCTCCCTCCACCGACCGAACGGACTTGTGTCCATTTTGCTCAATCGATATTAGCAACCCATTGCGCCAGGATCCCAATTGGCGGGATCTGGAGCATCCACAAATCCTGTGTGTTTTTATCTCAACACCTTACTGCATGAGCGCTGGCGTGGCCCACAGATCCACTTGCAAAAATGCAAAAAGTCGACAAATACCGGGCCCAAGCTCAACGTGCTCGTTTAGATACGAGGGAAGAACTCAACATAATCTTCGTTGTGTCAACCTCAACAGGCGAGACCGCGCTGGCTGACCGCCTGCTCGGCCGAGCATCACTGCTTCTACCGCTGGACGGAAGTGACACGTTGTCTCTGGCTGTGCTCTGGCTGTTCTCTCGGCTCGGCACCGAGACGAGAGCTTCTCTGGCTACGGCACACCGCCATCCGCGTCCTTTCGACCACCCGCCGCTGCACTACGGAGTACTGGGCTGCCATACGGAGTCTTCTGAAATGATAAATCAGAACAAGTGGCCTTTCACCCAGGCATTTTCGTCTTTTTGCCCGGATCGGAGTTCAAAAATTAGGCTTCCATGGTGTGATAGAGGGACAATCACATGCCAGCACACGGCGTCTGAAAGGGGAAAATAAGGGGAAAGGGGAAACAAGGGGAAAAAGGGGGACAAAGAGCCAGTTCTTAAGCCCTAAAAATGGTGGCCACGCACGGAGTGCAAATGAGAATCTATCAAGTAATAATTACCCGAGCGCCATCACGTTGGGGGGCGGCCTGCCCGCCTGTCTTATCTTTTGTTCAAGTCTTTTAATTATTATTATTATCGTTATCGTTATCATTATCAGGTTTTTCTTTTTCTTTTTCTTTTTCTTCCTCTGCTAGCCGCGTCCGTTGGCAGTGCCAGCCTGGCCTCGCCTGGCCCCACCGTGGATTATCTAAAGAAGGCGCCTAAACGCAGATTTGCGGGGAAGCTGTGAATGGTCAATTTGAATTCGTCTTGCGGGCGCCCATTGCTGTGGTCGCTGCCCTTCACTCGCAGACGCAGCCGCGCACAGCATTCACACGATTTCGTGGCTACGCTTTACACTTACCATCGGAAGCAATGAAGTGTGTGGACTGGTGGCCGCAGACATCGCTGCCATGTCGCCTGTAGCTCGCCTGTCAGAGCATTGGCTGGCCTGCTGCCCCACCAATCTACCGACCCACTGAAGCTTAGCGTAGCTGCGTCGCCAAATCCAGGCCGGCGTAAAGAGATTCCTCGCGTCATTATCGCCTCGTCCACATCTCCATCGTCATAGCGTCGACCACGACGCTTTGAGCCTGCCTTGTCACCATCACGCTCGGCCCATCCGGTCACGCCCCTCCGCATTCATCTCCCGACTGTCTGACGGAGCACCACGTGCTACCGCGTCCGCGATGGACTTCGACCCCAAACACGACTTGTCCCTCAATCTGCCGCTCAGCTTCCCCGGCGATGACGACGGTTCCGAACCGGCAGAGACGGCCGCCCGGCAACCTCCCCGGCAGCAGACGCAGCGGCAGTCATCCGTACTACACTTCCGCGCCGACGGAAAGGCCACCGAATCAACGCCGCCTCCACCCACGTTTACTGTTTACATACGCGTACCCGGGCCACGAAATGGCTTTGTCGATCCGCCAGACGTATGTCCTGGGCGATGCTGCTGATGAACGGGTTGGGATACGGTGTGACTGACAGCTGCACTGTCGCAGATTGATTGGAGCAGCGAGAAGGATGACGCTCTGTGGAAAATACTGTCGGGCATGTCCAAGAACGATATTGACTGTACGCCGGCCTTTTTCTGCTGTGTCATGTTGCTGCTGTTTTTCCGTCTCCCGTCTGTCCACCTGCTGATAAGCTGTGCACATTTAACAGGGCAGGATCTGTACGGCCACCTTGTCTCTGGCTTTGAATGATTTCTTTCTCCCGCCCCGTCCTCTTCACTGACAACTCATTCTTTCAGAGCGCAACAGTTCAACGCTACCGTCGAGTTTCTCATCGTGCAGGCCACCATCCTAACCGAGCGCCAGGTCTCACAGGTCCGCGCTCAAACCCGGAGGGTGACCAGTCTCGGCGCACGTGACACTCCCGTCAACTCCCCGCTGCTCCCACCCGGCGAACGGCCTCCGTCTGTTGCCGCACGTGCTGCTACGCCGACGTTGGCATCCGAGGCCATGGGAAGAACCTTGTCAAAAAATGGTATGTCCAGGAAGCTGTCGGCCGAGGCCATGCGCCGCACGCCGTCTGGTGGTGGTGCAAACACAAACACCGTTGCGAGGGTCAGCAATTTCGGCTCTCGTGGCGGATCTCGGCGACCGTCTATGGCGATGGAAGGATCTGCAACCGGTGGCTTCCTGCCAGCCTCTTCGGCCAAGTTGGCCGCCAACCCTATCGACGGCCGCTTTGCCCGCGTGCGATCCCGGTTTGCTGCCATGTCCATTGACAGCACACGCGCTCCAACAGATGAGCAGCCGGCAGCAGAAGCCTCATCGACACCCGGGAGACCAAACGCCATTCGGCACCACAACAAATACGACAGCGAGGATGTCGACGTGCTGTCTCCTGCCGCCACGTCGTCGCAGGCGTCGTCTGATTCCGAAAGTGACTCGTCCACACCGTCACAGCCTGTCATGTCGCGCATTTTTAAGCGTCCGCCCGGCTACCCACAGCAGGACGACTTTGACGCCCATGGCAGTACGGACACGGCGCGTGCCGGTGTCCGAACCACTGGCCGTTATGGCGCTGCGGTTGGCTTGGGCATAGCCTCACCCGACTCGGCTGGCTCTGACGGTGGAGACGAGTCCGAGACACAGCCGGCCTTCCTGCCTTTCAAGACGCCCACGCTGGCTGCCACCGTCACTGGCCGGCCTGCCAACAGGGTGAAAAGGGTGTGTATTGCTACCAGACAGACAAACAAGAGGGAGACTAACCGGCAAATCTTCACGACAGGCCCCGTCGCCGTCGTCCTCGTCCGCCTCTGCCTCCCCGACAACGAAGACGTTCAAGAGCCCGGCAGTTGCTACCACTGGAACTAGAGCCATCGTCCAGCCCGGAGTAGCATCGGCGTCTGTTGCCACAACAGCCTCGTCACCAGCAGCTGCAGCACGCTTGCATCCCTCTCGGCTGCCCTTGATGCGGGCCTCGCCGTCAACGCTTCACCACAACCGCAACCTCTCGGCCGGCCCGAGTCCCGGATCCCGAAGGCGGTCGGGCTACTCACGCGAGGGCAGTGAAACCGGCACGACGCCCAGCATGGGCAGCAGTTTCAGTGACCTGGACGGTAAGTGGGACTGTACCTTCCTGTTCAGGCTTCAGCGCTGACTAAGCAGACGTCTCCTTGACTCAATCTGTCCTAGACGAGGCCCTGGCCAGTAGGGTTGAAGACACCAGCTCGGTACAGTCCGACGCACAGTCGTCGTCTACCATGGCCTCGTCGTCCACCATGAGTCGACGGCTCCGGTGAGGCGTTTGCATTGGCCCTCTTTCTTACGAGAATACGAATTGTCTATTACGAACGGTCTGATCCAGGCAGCGTTTGCTTCCGCTTCCTGCAGATGTAATTACAAGTTGCTTTTCTACTTGTATTGCGCCTTCTTTGGTAGAGGCTTCGACACACATTTCTCCTGGCGTCACTACGCAATTATGTCGACGAGGAGGAAGCGAGTATCATACCGAGTTGAGGGCTCCTGCAAGCACAAATCAGCTTATATGACAGCTCAGTCTCGCGCTAGAGCTCCCGCCTTCATAAACTGTTGATTTCTCGAATGTCAAACTGCACAAGTTCTGGGAAAGCGGTCAGGGCGGAGATTGTCGTTTGCCCCGAGAATATTTGTTGAGGTGCGTGTGATCAAGACGGCACGCTGTCAGATTTGTAAGCGCTGACGCTTTGCAGCGCCTGTGATCCAAGTCAGATTCTGACTGCAGTCAGCAAACGTGCACCGGGTTTAGCTGTAGCAACCCGTCTTGAGTATCTACTGTTATCGGTGCTCTCTATCGCCGATGTTGTGAACAAGCAAGGCACAGAAGCATTAGGGCTTTTTTCTTTTAATATATAGGGACAGCTTAAGCTATGGTAAAACACACCAACAACGTTCACAACGTACGGACGAAATGGTGTATCGCAAGTATGAAGTAGACTACTGCTAAAACTACTACATTCCGGAAATAAGATGACGCAGAAGCAAAAGTCTCACAACACTGGGACGGGTAATTGTGTCCGACCCGGGCTGACTTGTTTGTACAGTGGGGTTCCAAAAATATGGAACCACCGCGATTTTTCGCGTTTCTCATTTAACTCCCAACACCTACCCTTACTTAGAATCACCACAAATCAACGAAAAGATGTCCAAAGTAGCTGAATTTGGTGCCATTCTGACGGCCGAAAGGAAGGCTACAGGCCAGCTAAGTTGGGCTGCGCGCGCTGCTATCTGTGGTGCTGTATACGCCGGCCAGTCACAAGGCGCTGTTGCTAAGGCTTTTGGCGTCACGCGCAGTATAGTCACTAAGACGATAAATCGGTTTATAGAAACACACAGCTTTAAGGATAGACTTGGCCGCGGCAGGCCTGCGTTGCTTAGCCGTCGAGATAAACGTTACCTTATTTAGCAAGCAAAGCGGCACCTAAAAATTACCTATAAGGAGCTGGCAAAGCAGATAGTTTGTCGGCCGTCCTATACTACTATACGGCGCGCATTTTGTAAGAATAGGATACGAAAATGGAAGGCTATAGATAGAATACTATTATTAGCAAGTATAGTAAAGGATAGGCTTAAATTTACGCGTGATTAGCTGTAAGATAAAGACGATTTGCTTTTTATATATGCTTTACTAAATGTAGTAGAATTTATGCTAATTTGCTAGACTCTTTTCTTTAATAAAAGTAGCTGCTAAAACGTAGTTAATGGCGGCGTTAGTTTTATTTTTTAAACAAATGCGCAGAAATAGCAAAAGAACTTAGTAAACGTTTAATTATATAAAAAACCTATAATTTTATTAATGTTTTAAGTTAGGATTTTAAAAAAAGGCTGTATAAAGTTAATCTTAATAGAAAAAGACTACTTTAAAAGCAAAAAGGTAGCTATATTTTATAAAGCTATAAAAAAGCATTAATAAAAGGCCTTCTACTTTTTTATAATAGTTTTTAGTATTATTAGCAAGATAATACAAGGGTATATATATTTATATTATTAATATAGTAGCTTATAAATAAGTAAATTAAGATGCTACCTTTCTAGCCTACTTATAGCCTAGATTTAAACCTAATTAAATATATTTAAGCTAAATTAAAGTATCTTTTAGCTAAAAAAACCCTAATATATAAAAATTAAAGAAAAACGCAATAGATATAAAGGTTTTTAAGCGGGCAATTTGTAACTATTAGTAAGCAATTAACTAGGCCTTTATTAATAAGCTTATTAATTTGCTGCCCTAACGGCTAGCCGTAGTACAAAAGGCGCGTGGCTAGTATACTAAATATTAAAGAAATATACCTGCTCTTTAACATAAATACATTTTTTAAGGCCTAGAAAGGCTTGTAAACGCAGTACGTGCTGTTAATGCAAAGGTATCCTTTTGTATTAATGCCCTAAAATCCCGTTGGCGGGGTTACTGGTTCCATATTTTTGGACTAGAGGTGTAATGATTCATGCTTTGCCATCATAACAGCACAAGTTTTACGGGTCTAAGTCCGGTAAAATGCGAAGCCACTCCAAAATCGGCATCTTCTCGGGGATCGACGTCTTTAAGATGACGTCGAAGCGTCCACAGAATAGACAATATATCCGCAGCAGCAGCGTATAATGACCTCTTACATTGACAGATTCGTGAGCAAAAACAAGATACGTTCACTCGAGAAAGCGGTCACAGCAAATGCGAAGTCGTGTCGTGCTTACATAAGCGAACATTACGGTCGCGACTCCCGAAAGATGACAAGGACTGCAGAGAGCAGTTGCGAGTTAAAAAAAAGGGCTTTTGCACGAGCAGCATGAAGGCCGAGAACAACGACGCAGTCTGGGTACATCCGCCTGCCGGCGATGTCGACGAGGAAGCCCAGGCGGACGTGGTTGACAAGGAAGAAAGCGGCGACACGGACGCGACCCTTCAGACGGAGGCGGCAGGGCCACAAGTGCCAGTGGTCAAGAGCTCAGGGCCGCCACCCAACGGTGGTCTCTGGGCATGGCTGCAGGTGGTGGCAGCCTTTAGCATCTTCTTCAACACCTGGGGGGTGCTCAACACGTTTGGCATCTTCCAGACATACTACGAGACAGGCGCACTCTTTTCCGAGACGTCGTCCAATATTGCATGGATCGGCGCGATCCAGGCCTACTGCACCGTCTCGCTAGGCCTGGTGGCTGGCCCCATCTATGACCGCGGCCATCTGTCCGGCCTGCTGATCGTGGGCACCTTCCTGGTCGTCTTTGGCTTTATGATGCTGAGCATCTGCACGGCCTTCTGGCAGGTCGTTTTGGCCCAGGGTTTCTGTGTCGGCATCGGCGCCGGCATGCTCTTCGTGCCATCACTGGCCCTGTTGCCGACGTACTTTTCGTCGCGGCTCGGCCTCGCCGTCGGCCTGGCTGCTTCGGGCTCGTCGCTCGGAGGCGTTGTCTACCCCATTGTCTTTTACCGCCTCATCGGCCGCATCGGCTTCGGCTGGACCGTGCGTGTCATCGCCTTCATCTCTCTCGCCACACTGCTCGTGCCCTTGTCGGTGGCCCGGCAGCGCGTCCGACCGTCGCAGGCCCGTGCCCTGCTCGACTGGACCGTCCTGCGCGACCTCCCCTTTCTCGTCTTTACCTTTGCCACACTGCTCGGCTTCAACGGCCTCTACGTCATGCTCTTCTACCTCTCGTACTATGCCGGTGAGTCGGGCTCTACCTCGGCAGAAATGGCCTTTTACATTGTGCCCATTCTCAACGCTGCCTCCATGTTCGGCCGGACTATCCCCAACTACGTTTCCGACAAGACGGGGCCAATTAACTGTAAGTCTTCCGGCGCTTCTCCCCGTCTACTGACCCCGCTGATAGCCTAGTGTTCGGTCCGGCTGCCATCGTCTGTTCCGTGCTCACCTTTTGCATGATCGCCGTCAAGGACCTTGCCGGCGTCGTTGTTGTCGCCATCCTCTTTGGCTTTTTCTCTGGCGTCTTCATCGCCCTTCCTGGAGTCTGCTTCGTTCATCTGACTGCGGACAAGTCTAAGCTGGGCACCCGTATGGGCATAGCCTTTGCCACCCTTGGCTTTGGCGTGCTGACCGGAGGGCCTGGTACCGGCGCCATTATCGGCTCTGATGACACTGACCTGCATTGGACCAGCGCCTGGGTCTTCGGCGGCTGCACCATGGCAGGGTCTGCTGTTATGTTGATAGCTCTGAGACTTTACCTAACTAAAGGGAAATTGGCAGTCAAGATATAACAGGCTGCGACTTGTTTGGAGAGAAAACATAAGTCGATTAAGTGAACCGAGTCTCTGTGACATATTCGTGTTCGAAGGCATCAATCCGAATACACTTTGCTCCTCTCGGCTAGATAGAACTCTTTTATGACGCCTTGAAATGCAATGGTTATTTAAAGACCGCAGGCCCACGTTCCTGATGAAACACCCCTGACCAATTCATGCTTTCAACTCTATGCAAACAAATGCGCAAATCTTGTCGATCTTCCACTTACGCCCTTGCAGCGTAATGCCTATCGTCCATCATACTAGTCTACCGAGAAAGACGTGCTCAAAAACAAGTTTGCGAAATATGTCTTGACTTATTACGGCGCCAAACCTGGTTGTCTGTCAGCGTCGTGAAACGATTCAAAAATCATACATCAACATACCCATGGCACTTGACAGAATCGCGCAGCTTCTCCGCCAGCGATTGCAAGGCCCCAAGTTCCAAGCCCCCAAAGTGTGGCTGTGAACGAATATGGCTCCAAGCTTGGACCGGCGTCATATGGTCCTCGGGACAGAGCGTCTTAGAAAGGCTGAGCAACGAGTCTAGCATGCGTCCAGGCACTTGCTGGCACAATGCCCCACGCTCGGCAGATGATTCAATCGGGTGCTCTGGATACATAGCCACGAGCTGTGCGGTTGTGGTAAGAGCATGGCAGGATGCATCCTCGGGGTTTTCCGGATCGCCGTGCAGGTGTGGCAGACAGGGACTCTCGAGCCTTGTGGATGTAAGCGTCAAGTCTCCAACAGAGGAAAATGGGGAAGCGAAGAAAACAGGCAAGAGGCTCACGTCAACACGAACTCCATCCCGGCAACCTGTGGGTCTACGTCGCCCATCCGAACGACAGACCCGGCTGAGGCGGGGGCCGATGGGACGACATTTTGGCCAGGGCTGTGCTCTGGCGGCCTGTAGCTGGGTTTCAGATCTTGAGCATGATGGTGGCTGTGATACGGACGAGCAGCCTGGCTGTCGGGATGATGTTTATGCATATGAAGATGGGGGGGAAGAACGTCCGGGACGGCAATGCCATGGTCGCGAATGTAACCCTGGAGAGCTTCTACCGCTTGCCGGAGATCCTGGACCTCGTACACAAGCTTCGCCTCATTCGTCCTGACTGCGGCAACCTGGTCCTCGAGGGTCTTGGTGTACTTGTCCTTGCGATCGCGGTAGGTTCGGGTATGGGTTTAGCACTGGAACGTCACGTAGCACACCCCAGACACTTACTGCTGAGCTTGGCGCAATTGAGCCTTGCGCTTTTGCACCCGGTCTTCCCGGGTCTCTGCGGGAAGTTTTAGCGTTGGGCAGTCAAAGTAGCAGAGAGAATCTCCGCTTGCGGCATGTCAGGCAGACCAACCTCCTGGTTTGAAGATGCGGAAAATGTTACTGGACATGATAAGAACGGCGGTCGAAACGGTGGCAGAGGGCTAGAATAGATGGGCGTATGGGCTACGACACGGGATTGAGCCAGCTGGCAGGAGTGGCGGCTGGGTAAAAGGTTTAGTACGGTCTGATGCACGATCGGCCAAAATCAAAACGGGATGTCAGCAGGGTTCCGGCAGAGAGCCTTTGACAGGGGGCTGACACGTCCGAGCCAGGGTTTCGCATGGTGTATTAAGTGGAAATCGTGCGTGCGCATGGGGCTGATTGAATGCAGGAGAAGGAAATACGAAGGATGAGAAGATCAAAAATTCCTCTTTGGGTTTGGGCGAAACGCTGCAGGTGGGTCAAAATAAGTAAAAAACACCAAATCTCCGTCCGAAGCTTCCTAATCTGTCATCGAGGAGCTCCTGCGTCTACGTCGTAGCGGCCGTCAGACAGACGTGGTCTAGGCCTAAATAGGCGAATCTGATTATGAGTGAGATGATGGTGAGAATGGCTGAGTTACTAAACGGCCGACTTAAATACAACCGGTTCTATCACCTCACTTTCTTTTGTTTGCTTCCCATCTCTTCATCCGCTTCTCTCGCTTGACAACTGGTTTGTTTTTTTGTTCTTCCTCTTCCGGTCATTTTCTCTTCTCTTTTCTGTCTTTCGGCCGGCCCTTTAGGCTCAAGCTTGCCCTTCACCCAGACGTCTCAAAGAACTGCCTCTCAGCCGTCGTCAAAATGCGTTACGCCCCAGCACTCCCGCTACTGCTGGCACCGCTGGTGCTCCAGGTCCTTGCCAGACCGGCCGCCAAGGGTATCGGTGCGGTCTATCTGATCACGAATGAGAAGGACAACGCTGTCCTAGCTATGCCCATCCAGAGAGATGGCCTGTTATCGGCCGGAAAGTTTGTATCGACAGGCGGCTCTGGTGCCAACGGCATCGACGGCTCGACCAACAAATCCGCCGCTCCCGATGCCCTGTTCAGCCAGTCCAGCTTGACGGTGTCTGGTCAGAACCTGTTTGCTGTCAATGCGGGTTCCAACACCGTCTCCATGTTTGCAATCGACGCCCGCGACCCGACAAAGCTGAAGATGGTCGGCAAGCCGGCAGCTGTGCCTGGCGAATTCCCCTCGACTGTGGCCTCATCGGCCAAGCACAACCTGGTCTGCGTCGGCACCACCGGCGCCAAGGCCGGCGTCTCATGTGCCACCTTCTCTGCCAAGGGGCTCGGGACCATGGATGCGCTCCGCCCCTTCAAACTCGGCCAGTCCACGCCTCCCGTGGGTCCTACCAACACGGTCTCGCAGGTCTTCTTCTCCGACGATGGCGCCACTCTGTTCTCTACCGTCAAGGGCGACCCGACCAAGAACAACACCGGCTTTCTGGCTGCCTTCTCGGTCACCGCTGGCAAGAATTCTAGTGCCGCCGCTGTCAGCAAGCAGGGGAAAATGACGTCGCCACCGGGCACGGCCGTGCTCTTCGGCTCTTCCACCATTCCCGGCTCCAAATCGCTCTTTGTCACGGATGCGTCCTTTGGCGCGGCCGTCCTGTCTGTCAGCAAGGCTGGTTCCGTCTCGATGGCCGGCAAGGGAGTCGTGGCAGGTCAGAAGGCTACCTGCTGGGCGGCTGTCAGTAACGCTACAAAGACGGCCTTTGTCACGGACGTAGCTACCAACAGGCTGGTAGAGATGTCCTTGACCAATGCCAAAGTCATCAGCGAGATCAACCTGAAGAACGGCGACCCCGGATTGATCGACCTCAAAGCGGCCGGTAACTTCATTTACGCCCTGAGCCCTGGCAATGGCACCATTCCAGCGGCAGTGACGGTCGTCAGTGCACTAAACAAGACGCAAGTGCAACACTTCCGTCTACGGCACCAAGTTGGCAAGAATGCTCAGGGAATGGCTGTGATGTTGTCATAAATTTTGAGAGTAAAACTCAAAAACAGCAATACCATAGAGTAGCGACCAAGTGTCATGTACGTTCGCGGGAGTTTCTTATGTTGGATCGACTTGTGTTGGAATGGCGAAGGATTATGGGGCAATATAGACAAGGCAAGCTTCTCAAATGCAATTTACTTGGCATACCATACCAGGGCAAGGTGGCATCACCTGTCTTCTATTTCCCCCCTCCTTGTCGGAGTGTATCCTTGGTAACTATGTAGCGCACCCGCAGCTCAAAGTCTGCTATAAACTATATGGCGTACGCGGGTAACGTTGTGTCCAACTCTTTCTCGCGCCTGCACGGTTTCGTAGACTTTTAGGTGGGGCGTGGCACAGGTAATGTATCTTACAGGCCTTGAGGAATAAAGTTGCTTTTTAGTGTGGATGACTAAGCCGAGTTGCGCCATCAGATATACGTCACATGCAATCGCAACCTTTCTATGTCGTGCTTGGCAGGCCTTGCGCGGCTTTCTTTTTCGGTGGGCTTGAAGGCCAGTAAAAGAAAACTGGCATTGTTATCGAGACAGATGGCGCACCTAAAACGACCTGTTCGGCGAATCCGGCAGCTCGGTCTCGCCCGCAGAGGGAGGACTGAACTACCAATATGTGTCCACGTCTTATCAAGCCGCTGCAGGCCAATCAGAAGCGGTGCTTTGGCGTATTATGCCATTCTGAAGCTGGCTGTCACCATCTCACCCCGGCTCCTGGCCATCGTTGGCCTATCAAGAGCCATCCTACGGCAACACTCTCCGGTTACGCGATCTCGGTCGGAATACGCACCATGTCTCCACATCTGCTCCTGCTGCGAGCAGGAGCTGTGGGGAAGGATGCTGTCAGATCTTTCTTGTCGCATGGAATATAATAGAGATCGGACGCACATGTGGCTTCTGCTGAGACAGACGGCAGCCGACAGACGACAGCCAACAGCCAACAACCATGGCGACTTTTGTCGACGAGAAGCACGGACGACAGGCCCAGGCCGAGACAATAGTGCCGCTTGGCGGGAGCACCAGCGTTGAAACGGGCACTGACCATGGCGGCCAGCGCAAACGAAGCACCTGGCACAAGGTGCAGGCGATTATCTGGGACAATCCGGACAAGCCCGCAGCGGAAAAGAAGTTTCTGCGTAAGCTGGACTTTTACCTGTTGACCTACACGTGTCTGGGATACTTTGTAAGTACTCGAATATGTGCCCTTATGGCGCCAATGTGTCTTGCCGTCCGTCCTGACCCTCTGGCTACAGTGCAAGAATCTCGACCAGGCCAACATCAACAACGCATACGTGTCGGGAATGAAAGAGACCATCCATTTGGGCGGCAATGACCTGACATATGCAGGCAACTGCTTTACGGCTGGCTACGTGATCATCCAACTGCCCATGGTCATTCTGGTTACCAAGATCCGGCCCTCATACGTGATCCCGACGCTCGAGGTCCTCTGGTCCGTCTTCACCTTTTGCTCGTCGGCCGTCAAGACGCCGGCGCAGCTCTATGCCATGCGCTTTCTTGTCGGCTTCTGCGAAGGCGCCTTCTTCCCCTGCATCATGTACCTGATCGGCTCTTGGTACACGCGCGCGGAGCGGGCCAAGCGCACCACCATCTTCTACTCGACCGCCTCGGCTGCGTCCATGTTCTCGGGCTACCTACAGGCTGCTGCCTACGACAACCTCGACGGCGTGCTCGGCCACCAGGGCTGGCAATGGTTATTTATCATCTGCGGTATCATTTCGCTACCGGTGGCAATAATAGGCTACTTTTTTAACCCAGATTTTCCTGAGACGACGCGTGCATTTTACATCTCGCCCGACGAAGCCGCCTTTGCGCGTCAACGCCTCATCGATGACGGCTACAAGCCGCTTGGTGCGTCTGCCTGGACCAAGACCAAAATCTTCGACATCATACTGTCATGGCAATTCTGGTGAGTCGCCTCCTACAATTTGTCTCGTTGGGCCCTTTTGATGTTTCCGTCATCTCACAAGACCAGGGTTCTCTCGGCTGGGTACTTCTTCGTCCAGAGTGGCTATCCCTCGCAACAGCCATTCTACTCACTATGGCTCAAGTCCACCGGCCACACGACCTACCAGGTCAACGTGTGGCCAACGGGCCAGCACGCCATCGGCTGGGTGACGCAGATCGTCGCCGGCATCCTGTCGGACTCGCCACTGCTGAACGGCCGGCGCTGGCAACCGCTTGTGGCGCTGCAAGGCATCAGCGTATTTGCCAGCATCGTGCTGGCCGTCTGGGACGTGCCGATCGGTCTCAAGTATGCTGCCATGTATCTGACCAGCACGGCAGCCGGCGTGCCCGGTATATATTACGCCTGGTTCCCTGACCTCATGCCAGACGACCACGAGAAGCGCGGCTTCCTCATCGCCTTCTCCAATGTCTTTTCCTACGTCAACCAAATCTGGTACACCGACGCATTCTGGCGCACCAGCGAGAAGCCACGCTTTCACCCGGGCTTCATCGCTTCCGCCACCTTCGGATGGGTCCTCATCCTCACTGCTATACTGATGCACTTCCTCGAGCTGCACGACACTAGAGTCCGCAGACGGGCCAACGCTCTTACTGCTGAGCCGCCCGTAGATAGTCACCCACCAACGCTAACATCGTCGGTGCCCGCTAGCGTCTGATGATTTGTAAAGGAGGAGGGGCTTAACCTTTGGGCGTTGTTAAGTAATCATGAGTCATGTGACGTATGGGTGGGCCCTGATTGGTCAATCAGGGCTCCACCCCATGCAGAGGTTTATCCCTCCCGAATAGCTGCATCTTCCCTCCTACTCTCCTTTAGTAATACAACCAACCCTTCATGCTAAGTAAACAGTAATTTCACAGGCGTGTGGCTAGGTACTTCCGATATGCGCCGACGTGCATAAAGTCCGTAGGCCATACGATAGGGTATTAGTCTGCGCCACGAGACCTTCCAACCCAATAATCATTTAGACTAGCTTATTCGATAGCTAAAGTTCGGACCATCTTTTTCCCAGTTCCTGACTGTTGGACAGCCTTGTCAGTGAAGGGTTCTTACTTATCTTGCATCACCAGATTATCATTGTTATAAATATTTCGAATCTTGCCTAATTCCGTCTTCTTTTCCCCCAGAATTCATGGAGACCTCCAGTTGTAATCATCTGTAAAAAGTACGTGAAATTTGTGGCGCTGAGCGCCCAGGTCCACCTATTTAGTAGGGAATTTCATGCATGTCGGCATAGCTTCGGACGTAATATCATGCAAAGAAGCCCCCTGTGCTTCCAGTCGAATTATGGCAGCATTGCATTCTGTCGATGCCGCTGCTCTTCCAGGGTTAAGGTTCGGCCGCATGCTGACGAAGTTACAAGAGCAAATTAGTCATCAGGTGGACAAACCTGGTGATAAATAGACCACTTCTTCTTCTCCACAGGGCAGATATTTCACACTGGCTTAACAGTGGCGGAGACAGATAAAAACTTCAAAATGGTGCTCACTCCGCAAAACGTGGGCGCAAAGGGCGTTCCCTACTTCATCCCCGTCCAGGACCCCCCGGCTGGCACGGCCAAGCTGCCTGAGAATGGCAAGCTGCCAAAGCTGTTCACCCCGCTGAAGATCCGGGGGGTCACACTGCCCAACCGGGTCTGGGTCAGCCCGATGTGCCAGTACAGCGGAAAAGAGGGCTTCACCGGCCCCTGGCACTTTGTCCACTACGGTGCCCTGACCACACGCGGCGTGAGTTGCTGCTTGGAGCCATGTCTGGCCTTCCCGTCCGCTGAGCTGCCGGTCTAACCTCCAGGAACAGCCTGGATTCACCATGACAGAGGTTGCTGCCGTTGCCGACATTGGCCGCCTCACGCCCGAAGACCTTGGCATCTGGCTGGACGCCCACATCAAGGGTTTGCGCAAGATTGTCGACTTTGCCCACAGCCAGAGCGCACTGATAGGCATCCAAATAGGCCATGCCGGCCGTAAGGCCTCGGCTGTGGCTCCGTGGCTGGGCGCCGGCATCTCTGAGGAAGCTTAGGGTGGCTGGACGGATCGCGTGGTCGGACCCGACGGCCGCCCGTTTTCCGACTCGCCCGATGACACGATCGTGCCACACGCCCTGACCCTGGCCGAGATCGCCCAGATTCGCAAGCAGTTTGTCGTCGGCGTCCAGCGCGCCGTCCTAGCCGGTTTCGACATCATCGAGCTGCACTTCGCCCATGGCTACCTCGTGTCCAGCTTCATGTCGCCAGCTACGAACCAGCGCACTGATCAGTATGGCGGCAGCTTCGAGAACCGCGTCCGGCTTGCCCTCGAGATCGTCGAGGACGTCCGCGCCGTGCTGCCCGATTCCACGCCGCTGTTTGTGCGCATCAGCGCGACTGACTGGCTGCATAAAAACCCCGACTACCACGGTGCCAACTGGAACGTCGAGGAGAGCGCCCAGCTGGCCGTCCTGCTGGCTGATCGAGGTGTCGATGTCTTGGACGTCTCCTCCGGTGGCATCCACATCGCCCAGAACGTCAAATCCAGCCCGGCCTACCAGACCCCACTCGCCAAGCACATCAAGAAGGTCGTTGGCGACCGCCTGCTTGTCAGCACCGTTGGCAGCATTCGCAGCGCCAAGGCTGCCGAAGAAATCCTTAACGGCGGCAAGGACGCTGAGGACCCGCCTCTCGACCTTGTTGCTCTAGGCCGTCCTTTCCAGAAGAACCCTGGGGTCGTCTGGGAATGGGCTTCTGAGCTGGAGACTCGTGTCAAAGTGGCCAGTCAGATTGGTTGGGGCTTTGGTTTGAGCTCGTTTTGATCACATCAAACTAGATGAATATACTCAGGGAGAACAACGAATCCTGCCTATAGATACTAGAAGTGAAGGCCTAGCTTGCACGAAAATGCTTGAATCCCTATCGATTTATAGCTCCCCGTCATGAGACTGAGATCTTAGTTGCCATATTCGCTGTTTTTCTTCATAATGTTGTGGGGTTGTCCAATAATAGACTTGGGTTAACCAATTGCCGTTTTGTTTGTTACTTTAATTTGCGAATGCGGGCGGGCAACCTGCTTGTTTCCTGTAATCCACTGTTTGGCAAAATGTGATCCAAAGAAGTGCAGACCGATATACCCGGAAGTTTCGAAATGATACTTCTCTGTCTAGTACTTGCGATTTAGGTATCTAGTTCTCACTTCGTTATGGGATACTCTGTATATACACTAATAAGAGTGTATGGTTTCGCGTGACTAAAGCTAGTGCAGGGATGCACTGCAGCAGTGAAAAATCTGCACAGTGACCCAAATGGTCACGTGAAACATGCACTGCACCCAGAAGAGACTCTTGCGCGCCCGTGCTCGCCGTATCAATATAGCCGATATACTATAAATACACTGTACCGACTACAGTATGGCGGGGTTAACACCGACAACAGCGCTAAGTTGGTAAGACGGGGTAATTACAGGGGAAGCATCGCGCTAGTGGGGACCTGTATTGTCTTGCAAACAAGATCAACATTGCGAATGCAGCTGCTTCTGTCGTCAAGCCAGCATCGAACAGGAGTAGCGTGAAGAAAACCGGACAGCATCATCAGTATGCACCAGCCGGACAAAGAGGACCAGTTGTGGTCATCAGAGTACACTGTCAGAGGGGAGTCTAGTAAGTTTTTGTCCAGGCTCTATGTAAGGTAAACAAACAGTTGACACAGCTCACCAGATTACCTCCACCGAATGTACTACTTCCTGCATCGATTCGGTCTACAATCCAACATTATATGCTCAGCACGATACAAATCAGACGAGCGGGACGCCATTATCGACAGATCAAAGCTCTATGCTGTCCTGAAATCGATCATCGACCAGTACCCAGAATTGGCCATCGTCGGGGTCATGGAATCGTCGCCCAAGCCGGGCCGTTACCGACTTCGACGAGCCCTCCTCCACCGCATCCATCTGCACACCTGCACTGAGTTTATCGAGACGCAAGACGGAGTCAGCCCGGACCTTCTCGAGCGGCTGCATGGCGAGTGGCTGTGGACGGCAGCGAAGCCAGACAAGCCGTGGTGGAAGGTGGTTGTGGTCAACGGGCAAGATGTTGTCTTTGTCTTCCACCACTTTGTCTGCGACGGCCGGTTCGGCTACCTGTTCCACAAAGCATTTGCAGAGGCTCTCAACGCCATGCCCCGGCCCTCTGCATCACCTGCCCCCATGACGGACACCGTTGAAGTCGACGCAGCCAAGGCCCCCCATTGCAACAATGCTGGGTGATCTCTACGACTACAAGGGCTCCATCCTGCGCGCCATCTGCACAATACTCTACATGTATCTTATCCGCCTCATCTACGGCAGCCGGCTGTTCTTCGCCGACGTTCCGAAGCAGCCCTTTGTCAAACGACCGGTTGACGCCGTAGTGTTGCCGACAGAACGCGTTGTCACCCGCGTCAAGACCTGTCGCATTCCGGCCGCCCAGGTGGAAGCCATCGTGACAGCGTGTCGTGCTCACAACACGACGTTTACGCCGCTTCTGATCGTAATGATCAATCTGGTGCTGGCTACAGAGCACTACCCGGCAGCGAAACTGGGCCTCTCGTTCTGTGCCATCGATACGCGGCCGTGTCTGCCGGCCCTTCCCACTACCGGGAAGCAAGCCAAGGATATAATGAACGCCTCGGCTTCTATCATGATCGTGCACCGCTTGGAGGCGATCCGACGCGCTGCCTCTCCCGCTCCCACTTCAAACGCAATGCCGGCGTTGACTTTAGCTACACCTGCCGGGGGCGGCCTGGTGGCTGTAGACGCGGACGCGATATGGAAACCTGTACAGGAATACGGGGACCGACTCCGAAATGGTATGGAGGGACCGGTGCCCACGATAGTGCGGAACGTCCTGCAGGGAAAGATGGCCGGAGAGGACTTGGAGGATATGCTGAACAGAGGAATGCCGTCGCTGGGCCTGGTCATGAAGAACGGATTCCTGGTGTCGAACTTAGGACCATTTTCCACACCGCCTGCCGAGACCCGCGGGTGTTGTGGTTTCTGGCAGGTCAGCGAGGTGCAGTTTTCAGCGGCCGTGACGCAGGCGTCTGCCGGGGCCAGTGGTATCGTCTTCAACGTGGCAGGGGTGAAGGGTGGCGACACTATCATCAACGCATCCTACCAGGACGGAGCGCTGCGGGCGAGATCTGTAGAGGCCGTCTTGTCCTCGGTTGCGGCCAAGATGGTATACGTTGCGAACACGACTTTGGCGACGAAAAAATAAGCATGATTGGCACTAAACGAGAATTGTTACGGCCAGTGTTAGAATAAACAATAGACTTGTATCCATTTGTAAACTATTGCTAATTCTGGATCCAATATTGTTACTGCGCAGGTGCACCGCTTGGCCAGACCCAAGCTCCTCTATGAAACCAGAAGAGAAGATAGAAGGGAGACAATGTCGTGGAAATTGAATAAGAAAAGGAGGGAAAGGAAAATAGAATATGGAAACTGGAGGCAGAAGCGAAGGAGCCTGCTTGTCGCTTCAGAAACCCCCGCAGTTGTTTCCTGCTAGAGCTGCCTCCTAAAACGTATGGGCAACCGGACCGCTGTACCTCTGCGTAATCCGGTTGCTGTTTGCACAAAACGTAATGGTTCGTCGTCGCGCCATAGCTAAGTTGTTTGCTTTTAGTAGATCCTGTAATCCTCTTCCGACACAAACAAGTGCCCTGAGATTGACAATTGACTGCAGACCATTTTGCTGTAGATTTGACGGCGGTATGTCCACAGAAGCTATACCGATATTTGGCTGAAATACACGCCGTGTATACGCCGTACGAGGGCGATCGAGATGGGGGCGTAACGTTTCCGTAGGAAGCCGCTTCCGTCAGACCCGGTCCCAAATTGGTTACAAGTAGGATTTATTGTTGTAACACTTTAAAGTGGTAACACGCCACCGTAGGGGCATGTCTTGTCCGTCCTCTTTTGCTGGCCGTGCTGGACGCACAAAGCCCAAGGGGTTTTTGTTGGGGGAGTAGCCGTCCAGCCTGTACCGGGTACAGTTTAACTTTCGGGCGCCAGATGGAGGAAGTAAGGAATGCCAGAAAGAAAAGCAAAAACAAAAAAAAGTCCGGCGGGATAGAGTTGGATTTTAAAACAAGACACTGGCGCCTTCTGAGCCGTCGCTCTCGTAGCCGTTGTGTTCGGCAGACCCATCTTTGCTGCTGCCGTTGGTATGGCTGCTGCTGTTGTTGTTGTCGCCGCCGTCACGACGGCCGTCGACGAAGCGGTCGACCTCGAGGTCCTCGGAATGGGCGCTGTGGGATATCTTGCAGGGCACCTTGCCGCCGCGGTAGCGGCAGTCGGCCGTCTGGCAGATGTGGCCCTTTGTGCATTCGACTTCGCGGCAGGCTCCACGGCGAGAGCACGGCATGGAGCGGGCGAGGGACTCGAGCGGGGCGAGCAGGTCTCGGGGCAGCGGTGTGTGATCAAAGTCGCACTTGTTGCCGGCCTCGCAGACGCCGGTAAGGTGAAAGCGGTTGCAGAGACCGCGGTTGCGGGCGCGGGCCCGCAACTTCGTAATGGCCTCGCTGGTCGCCGACAGGTAGCTGTCGAGGCGATGGCCAGACTTGTTGACGGCGACCTGGTCGCGCGGGATGTCAACCGGCTCAAGCGGGTGGCCCCTCCACGTCGGGTGGAAGGATTCGGTCCGGATGGGCGACCAGGACCGGACGCGGCTGCTACTACTGCTGCTGCCGTTGATGCCATTGGTGCCGTTGATGCCATTGGTGCCGTTGATGCCGTTGGAGCCGTTGTGACCGCTGCCGTTTACGTGTGCGAGCTTGCAAGCCTTGCCGAAGCGGCATTTGCCCAGCTTGTTGAACTGGCACACGGCAGTCCGTTGTGATGATGGTTCATCCTTGCTGACTTTGAGCAAGGCCGTGTCTGTCGGCTGGTAGGAGCTGGTGGAAGGTGCCCTCCAGGAGCTGTCGCTGGCCGCAGAGCCTGAGTTGGCCGAGGCGGTAATGGCCGCAAAGGTAGTGCTGACCCGATGGGACGCCGTTGTTGTAATAGTCGTATCTGTGGTAAGGGGGGTGGTGCGGAAGACCCCCTGGATGTTCTCGATACCCATGCCGAGCTTGGTGAACTCGGGGTGGAACTTGACGCTGGGCGTGCGGACGAGCGTAAACCTGTCGCTGTTGCCCAGGTGAGGCGTCAGCTCCGAGATGTAGCCGACGTCGTGGCAGGCAGCAAAGTAAATGTGCTTGCACTGGGGGCTGTCGGCATAGAAGCTGAGCGCGGCGCGGAGCTTGAAGTCGGCATTCTCCTTCAGGCTGCCAGCGTCAACAAAGTCGGTCAGGCCGTAAGACCGGTTAAAGTTGGCCAAAAACGGCGCCAGCGACCGCGCCTCGTTGCCGGCCAGGTTGTTGCGTGCCAGCGCCTTGGACAGGCCCATGACGTTGGCGTAGATGCGCACCATAATCTGGCAGCCGGCCATGCCCTTGGCCTTGAGGCTGTTGGCGATGGCGCTGTTGAGTGCATGGGCCGCATTGTTGCCACCTTCACCACCCTTATTGAGAAAGTTTTCGTGGAAGACGTAGCCGTCACCGTCGACGAGCACGAGCACAAACGGACTCTGCTCGCGGCTGCGCGCTAGCTGCTTGTATTTTTCCCGAGCGTCGCGCTCCTCTTCAAAGTCGCTCTTGAGTCGCCGGTAGTCTTCGATCAGGTTTGCGTATTTGCCCAGGATGCTGTCCAGCTCGGCGCTCTTGCGGTACACCGCCAGCTGGCTGGCTGCCGCGTCGATCTCCTCATCGCGAAGCATCGTGGCAGCTGCTGCTCGATCCCGAAAATTGCCAGCCCGTTAGGGAACAGCCATTGGGCGGGATTGGAGCAAGGATTTCAGCCGTCCGTCTGCCTTGTCCAGGGGGGGCAAAAAGAGCTGTTAGTTGATTGGGCGATCGATACAATGTGCAATCTTCCATCTGCGGCCTTGCGGGCTGCACTTACAATATCGATGCAAATAGCTCTCAAACGAGATAAAAAGGAAACCTGGTTTGCGAGTGAAAATAGGGAAATTTTGGATTTCCTTGGGAAAAAAAAGACCGGGAGAAAACTTATATCTCCCCACTTGTCCACGTGATTCTTCTCAAGCTCTCAAACCTTGCTTTTGTTACTTTGTTACGGCGGGTGCTGACATCTGACTTTCAAGGGATGCAAACTCTAAGCTTCTTACTGGTGGCAACTGCCTCCGTGCTTCGTCCGACGTTTCGTAAACCTCAAACATGGTCCGACAGGCCGCTATCGCAGGCCTTGTCGACGCCAGCTCAGGTTCATATCCACTTTGGCCCACGGAATCACCTGTCTCCAACAGCAAAACGTCCACAGGGAGAAAGTTAGCGCATTCTCTTATTTTCTCAGGGCAACGGCCACCATTTTCAGGACGCAAACGGCAATTTCGTCACGTCCGTCAAGCCCCTGTGACCACTCCGTGATCCAATAGTGCGCCCACCCCAAGACAAAGACGTCCGGAAACGTCTTGCAATACGAAACACAGGCGCAAAAATCACGACGGGCTGTGATTGGAGCTTGGGCACTTATTGCCTCACTGACCTTTATATTTCCACATCACATCTCCCCCCCCCTGAGTTGGCGAGCGAAAAACCTTCTGTGGGCCGTCTCCGGCAAGGAAAGGCCACGTAGGCCGTTCCGAGGACGATCAGTGGGCGAGAAGCGGTGACCCAAGATGCATTAGATTGGACAGGTCCCAGAACATAAAGACACGGTCAGAGGCGGAGGGGTACATAGTAGAAGAGAAGCTGTAGCATCACACGGGCGCACCTTCAAGTCGGCGTAATTTCACCGCCACTGGTGAGACAGGAACCTTTGGGTGTACAGCGTCAGTGGTGCCAGCAGGATGCCGGTGGGGATACTGCCGATGGTCCACACAGAGGACACCGTACCCTCGGACAAACAGGCAGACAGGCCAAGTATGACGGCACCGTTGATGAGAAGCCAGGTCACATTATCGCAAGCGACAAGGTACAGATCACTTGCATGTCGCACGTAGCCAAGCTCTAGGTCGTGCGAAATCCTTCCAACAAGACGAGGAGGCATCGATTAATATGGCTCATGTGTGCAATACAATGGGTGCACAATTAGACGAGAATCTGGACAGGTGACCCCGCCATGCTAAAGCTTAGTCCTAATATCGTGTACTCAATACACTGCCCCCGGAAAGTCCTTCACTCGACGGCCATCGATGTATGCGCCGTCCACCAGTAGCTCCTGTCCATGTTTTCCATCCCATGGAATCTCGTCGAGCCAGCGCCATCGGGCCTGTTGCTTCCAACCGGCAGCGCGCCAGCCGTTGAGCTCGGCGGCCGGGAACAGTGGAACAATATCCATGAGGCTGAGGTCGTGGGAAAAAACAACAAAGAAACGATCGTTGGCATCGATGATCTGCAGCCGATCAAGGCTCTGCTGGGCTGCCACGGGATCTTCGTGCCAAGAGCCGGCACCAGCAGAGATGCGGTAATAAGGCGTGGTCCGGGCCTGGAGAGGATCCTGGACGTAGTGGCAGCAGGTGAAAGAGGACACGGGGAGTTGGTGGACGTCGTCATCCCCGACACCAGCCAGTCTTGCCGTCAGCGTAGTCGGCATCGGCACGTATGGTGTGGGCCGTAAGGAGCCGCCAAAATGGCAGATGTCGCCACCGAGGAAGACGAAGTCGTCTGTACTATTTTTGTCCTCGATGCTGGCGGGGGTGGTTCGCACGAGGGCAGAGATGTGGCCTACGGCATGGCCTGGCGTGTCGAGCACGTAAAGGCTGCCGTCTCCAAAGTAGTCTTGAGCACGGAAGCCCGCAACGACGGCCGCGTCGCTGTCGAATCCCAGCTCGAGCACGGTGCGCCCGTGGAAGGCCTCTTCGTGCGCCGGTGAGGCCGGGCTGGTTGGATAACCTGGCAGAAAGTGGTCGGAGAAGCCGGGGCCCACGACAAGCGCCATGGATGTCGGGAACACCGTCGGGTCGCCAAAATGGTCAAAGTGGTGGTGACTGATGATGGCGGCTTCGATGTTGGCCAGGTCGACACCACCAGCCTCCAGCACGTCCGCCAGGCATTCGTCCACACGGAGACCCGGCATGTGACCGTACAGCATGGACGTCACTGGCGGTGGCAGGCTCCAAAAGTCCTTGCGGCAGCCCAGATCGAAGAGCACCTGTCGTCCCGAGGCCGCGTGGGTAATGAGAAAGGCCAGTGTCGGCAGATTCAACCATGTGTGACCGGCGATCGCAGGCTCAACCAGCGGGGCTGCTGCCAATGTCAGCTGGCATGTCGTGTCAATTGCCGCCACCCGACAGATGCCGCCCGGCGACGGTACTGCTGGCACCGGTGCCGGTTGTGCATCGATGTCGGCAGCGGGTAACGGTGCTGACGGTGCTGGCGGTACTGGCGGTGGCATCGTTTCTCTGTGTGGTTGGACAACATCCGGAATTTTCCCTTACCTCGTCTCCACCGGGCATGAGGAATATTCTACCCCAGACGAATATTGGTGGGGAAGAGGGGGATCAGTTGTTCTTGTTCTAGTTAGACTGCTGGCGTCCAAGTCGATGCCATCGAGAAATTGATAAAGGGTGGGTGGGTCTGGCTATGGGAGTTCCGTACATACGTCGTACATCGGCCGGTTTCAGAGGCACAACTGGCCGAGTCGTGCAAAGGGGTTTTCCTTGTGACAAGGCGGCACCCAGACCTTTCTGAGGTTCAGCTGCATGGAACTTCTCTCGAGAAGGGCGACTGTAGTGGCCACGTTTTCATCGGAGAGGCTGTCGACGCATGGCACCAAGCATCACCCAACAGCGCTTCCACTGCACCCGGTGTTCCGTGTCGTGATGAAAGCTCTCCCCTGGAAACCAGATCCGCCCTCCAGTGTCTTGGCGACCATCTCGAGCGTGTTCGTGAATTTTTTGTCTGCCCATGTTCCAGTAGCTCTGTTCTCCTCTGTACCCCTCTGTTCTCCGTCGCTTCCGTTCGTTGTCGTGGCTCAGAATGCCATAAGGTAACGAAGGTTTCTCGGCGCCATAATTTCAGTGACGTGCGCAGGGCGTAGACCTCTTTGGCGTCAAGTGGGAAAAGTCGCTGGTCAGACTGCCGTACGTTTTCTGCAGCGTAGAGCAATAGGCTCAGTGGGGTGTCGTGTCCGACCGATTGCGTATGTTGATGTCCAAACAGTTCCAGCCACTCTGGTTTACCGGCAAAAGTCGGATACTCTGATCCGGCATTTGTGTTTCGCGCAGAACGTCGATCGCAGTGTTTTCTGAACTCGGCCCGCACGTCTTCATGTTGCGCATTGTGAGAGCCGACATCGCCGTCTCATGCGGCACCTAGCGACTCATGGCGGCGATGCTTGGGCGTTGGCGCTTCAATCCGTAAGATGGCAGCTCTGCGCAAATGCTAGCAGAGTATGGAGTAGGAAGTGCTTGGCAAATTAGGACTCATTCTTTAAATAACACGTCGATTCCTAAGGCATCGAGGCGTGCTCCCCACGTGCGCACATGTTCATTCGCTAACATAATCAGTAAGTCTCCACGGGAATTGCTACACACACGGGAGCACGTGACTTATGTAGGCGGTTACAGATGGCAGAATACTCCGTACTAAGATCGTGCAAAATAGATTCGAAGTACTCCTTTAGTCTAAAAATATGGAACCAGTAACCCCGCCAACGGATTTTTAGGGGCATTAATACAAAGGGATACCTTTGCAATAACAGCACGTACTGCGTTTATAAGCCTTTCTAGGCCTTAAAAAATGTATTTATGTTAAAGAGCAGGTATTTTTCTCTAATATTTAGTATACTAGCCGCGCGCCTTTTATACTATAGCTAGCTGTTAGGGTAGCGAATTAATAAGCCTATTAATAAAAGCTTAGTTAATTGCCTACTAATAGTTATAAATTACCTGCTTAAAAACCTTTATATCTATTGTGTTTTTCTTTAATTCCTATATATTAGGGTATTTTTTAGCTAAAAGACGCTTTAATTTAGCTTAAACATATTTAATTAAGTTTAAATCTAGGCTATAGGCAAGCTAAAAAGGTAGCATCTTAATCTAGTTATTTATAAGCTATTGTATTAATAATATAGATATATATACCCTTGCATTATCTTGCTAATAATACTAAAAACTATTATAAAAAGGTAAAAGGCCTTTTATTAATGCTTTTTAGTAGCTTTATAAAGTATAGCTATCTTTTTTACCTTTAAAGTAGTCTTCCTTTATTAAGATTAACTTTATATAGCCTTCTTTCTAAATTCTACCCTAAAACATTAATAAAATTATAGGTTTTTTATATAATTAAACGTTTACTAAGTTCTTTTACTATTTCTACGCAAATATTTTTTTTAAAAAAAAAAAAAAACTAACGCTACTATTAACTACGTTTTAGCAGCTACTTTTAGCAAAGCATATATAAAAAGCAAATCGTCTTTATCTTACAGCTAATTACGCGTAAATTTAAGCCTACCCTTTACTATATTCGCTAATAATAGTATTCTATCTATAGCCTTTTATTTTTGTGTCCTATTCTTATAAAATGCGCGCTATATAGTAGTATAGGACGGCCGACAAACTATCTGCTTTACTAGCTCCTTATAGGTGATTTTTAGGTGTCGCTTTACTTGCTACATAAGGTAACGTTTATCTCGACGGCTAAGCAACGCAGGCCTGCCGCGGCTAGGTTTGTCTTTAAAGCTGTGTGTTTTTGTAAACTAATTAATCGTCTTAGTAACTACACTGTGCGTAACGCTAAAAGCCTTTACAACGGCGCCTTATAACTAGCCAGCGTATACAGCACCACAGATAGCAGCGCGCGCAGGCAAACTTAGCTAGCCTGCAGCCTTCCTTTCGGCCGTTAGAATAGCACCAAATTTAGCTAATTTAGACATCTTTTCGTTAATGTAAGGGTTAGTGTGCAATGCGTGGTCACGAAGGCTTAACTAGTTTGTACTATTGTATTAAGACTTTAACTTAACGAACTATAGAAGACTAGTAGGCAAAGGCCTGCCAGCTAATATATACGTGGCTGGAAGATGCGGTGTAGCGCAACCCTAGTGGGGCGTGGCACAGCTAAGTGGCTGTGCTAGTCCTGTGCAACGTGTTAAGATAGTTCGTTAAGTCCGTCGCTTAGTAAGCGACTAGTTGCCGAACCGGTGCGTAGGGACGCGTGTGTGGAATACCCTTATACTATCCCCCCCCTCCCTAGGTGACGCCCCTGTTAGCCTAGAGGTGCACACGCGGCAGCCACTTGCTCGTTAAAAAACCTCCCTTTATTAAGTTAGGAAAATGAGTTAAGCGCTCCAAGTTATTAGCTGTTGCTAAGCGGTTGCAGACCGCTTGCTTATGCGACTGCATTCGGGTAACGTGGAAGCGCATATGTACTGCTTAGTCTATAGCGGCAGTAAACGCCGGATCCTGCCTTATGCACAGGTTGTCCTGTTTATTAGAGCTCTCTAGGAGGCGTGCAGCTTAAATCCTAGTTAGGGAACGCTTAGGTTGCCGCCAATAGGTGTTGTAAAGAGGCTAGCCTTAAATACTAGGTGTATAAAGGTGCAGTGTACGCTAACTAAAAACGGCGGCGTAAGGCTTGCGACTTTTAACTACTAGCAGGGTAGGATAAAGGCAATAGCGGCCGTTTGTCGCCTGCTAATCGTAGAACTATTGCCTACTAAATAGTAGAGGCGGTTTGCTGCTAGAACGTTTCTTTATTTAATTTTAGACGTTTTTTACCTTATTATTAAAGCAAGGTTAGGTAAGTTTTTAAGATGTATTTAGACGTTTAATAACGCGGCTTCTTTATTACCTTAAGGTATAAAAGAGCAGGTATATTCTATAATTTAAGATAAATTTGTTTATACTTATAAGACTACTCTTATCTTTTTACCTTTTTTTTCTTTAATCTTACTTGTATAGTAGGTTAATATAATAGTTTGTAACTTTATATAGCAGCTAGCTAATAATTACTTATAAATAATATTTAACTAAAGCTGCTTTTAAGTCTTAATAGACTTTTTTATAAATATAAACCTTATAAAACGCTCTTCTTAGGTATACGCACTATCTCTTAAGAGTATAAGTTTTTACTAGCATAGCGTTTATTGAGTAATAGCTAACTTTATAGTAAGCTTTATATTTAAACTATGTTTTTAAGGCTTATTTAAACGTTTATTATAAATTCTTATATATAGCTATACTAAAAAACCTAGCGCGCTATATTAGTTATATAGCTAATAACATATTATACTTACTAGTAAGTACGTTAACTTATATACGCTAGTAGCTAATTACTAACTAATAGCTTCTTAAAAAGATTAAAGGCTTAGCCTAATATATTTAAGAATTTCTAGCTAGTACAAATAAGTTGCTACTTTAGTAGATAATAGTTAATAATATTATTATAGCGTTAGGCAATTATATAGTAATCGCTTAAAGGTTAATAGCCTTAATAGTAGTAACTAAAGAACTTAGCTACGCTTTATAAAAAGACAAGTTAAAGCCTTTAGCAACTAACTAGCGCTCCTAGCGTAAACGTTTTAAGACGGTATAATAAGCTATATTACGCCTTAGTGTCTTTTATTAGTACTAGTAAGAGCTAGAGCTTACTTTAACGCTTATATAGTAGTTAGTAAAGGTAGCCTAGCTTTTGCTACTAACGTCTCTAGACGTAAGTATACTATTATAGGTATAAACTTAAGTTATTACTACCTTTAAAGCAATAGTAAGTCTTTTAATCCTTATTATTAAGTTATTACTAACCTATTACCTAAGCTAATTCTTATTCTATTATACTTAGCCTAGCCTAGTGCGCTATAGCTATTTAAGCTAGCTATAGTAGTATACTTTACTATACTATAAAAGCAAAAAGGCTGCCTAAGCGAATCTTGCAAACTATAGCAGCCCTAGTTAAGCTAGCCTAGATTAACTAGGTAGTAGTCTTTCCTTAGCCGTTGCCTTTAGTAGCGCCTAGTAAGCGACGGTCTTACGCTAAGTTACTAACCTTAGCTAAGTGCTAGTATAGCGCTAAGACTATTTTTAGTACTATAGCTAGCAGTAGTAAAGTAGTTATAGCAGCTTGTAGTAGTAGTATAGTAGCATTTAATAAAAGTGCGCTAGCAAGCAGCTAGTTAGTAGCTAGTAGTAGCTATATACTAGCTAGTAAAGGCTTGCCTAGTAGCAAAGAGAAGGATAAAGAGGATAGTATTAAGAAAAAGAATAAAAGAGTAAAAGAGACGTTTATAAAGAAGGATAGTAACAAGTAGCTAGTAGCTAAGCAATAGCCTACTAATAGTATGTTTTAGGTTTATAGCTCTAAAGAGCGCCTTTAAAGCTAGAATAAGTAGTTTATAGTACATAATTATATAGAAATAGTAAGAGTAGTTAACTAACGATTAGCTTATATATAGCTAGC